AGGGAGAATCTGTGTCCCATTTTCTGATTGCATGTGTGGACTTAGGAGGGCAACCATGAACACAGTTTTTATGTTGTGTGGGATTTCCTTCCCGAAAGGATACATCAAACTTGAATCTAAAATGCAGGGGTAGGGAAGAGCTTCATGGGAACCCAGAGAACAGCATCAGAGCGCGGTAGAATGCATTCTTCAGGAGAAAGACGTGAGGGTGGACTGAAGACGAGAGGCGAGTGAGTCAGGCAAGGATGTGGAGCAGCAACAGGTCAGGAGATTTGTAAGAGAACAACTCAGGTGACCATGCAGAGCCGGGAGAGGCCAAGTTAGGAGACTGGACCGGTGACAGGAAGCAGGTAAGAAAATGTGATGTATCGCCCAGAAGAATTGCTTCTTGTGCTGATTAATTTTGAAATTTATTTATCATTGGGTTTATTTCTTACAATATTCTCTAACCAAAGATGTCTCTGTGTGAGAAGGGAATAGAAATCCGTTTGCTAGGCTAGTCCCTAGGGGGTTGGCTTTAGGTCGGGAGTTGTATGGACTTGTTGCTGACAACGTGAGCTTGCAGGCTTGGGGAACATGATTGCTTCTGTCCACCTTTCGCCGTTTTTCAGTCCTCCATCCGCCAAAGAACAGTAGGTTGTTTTTTGTGGTTATTGTTGTTGTTTCTTGTTTTTTTTTTATTTTTTTATTTATTTTATTTTATTTTATTTTTTAATCAATTTGCTTATAGTTTCGGGCTTAGGTAAATTCTCCCTATTAGAAATTCAGACTGACAGCTTACATTGCCAGCTAGTGTCCACTAGGTGGAGGCTGCGAACAGCCTGCTGGGAAGCTGAGCACGGGCAGGGTCCGCAGCTGCGCAGAGAAAGAAACGGAGGGTCCTAAACTAACAAGGTCGGCCTCTCTTCGGGGTGAAAGCATTGGCAGGAGGTAAGCCTTGAGATCCGTGGACTGCGACCCGTGGTGGGCAGCCAGATTCTAAAGAGGGATTCGCTGTAGGAGGGTGGGTGGAAAGGCACTGCGCCATGGGCAGTCTTCCCTGGGCTCTTAGCATAGGTCCAGATTCTCCCATGTCGTTTGCTATCTCTTGCTTTGTACTATGCGGTGTACGCAGAACATCTTCGTGGTTTTCCGTGGGCCTCGAAATCGTAACATGAAATTTGACGTTTTTCTTCTTTCGTCTTTCTCCTCCGTTTCCCTTATCAAGCAATACTGTTTGAAACTGTGTTTTTGTTGTTCGGTTATTCTCAAAAAAATTTGCAAACGGAGGGAATTGCCATATATGGGTATACTTTTCTCTAATGTTGCTAAAGAATAATATCTGGCTATTTAAAGGATCCATTTCTGCATGTCCTAAAGCAAAGGTTGTGCTTGGGTTTTGATGTGTATCTTGTTATTTTTGCATGTTTCTGTTATGCAACTTATTCAACTAACATACCCCTTGAAAAACTACATTATCATTGTTTAATTTGGTTTCTAAAATATGCTATTTGATTAAATTATTCCTTTTGGATTTCATAGGATGAAAAAATCAGATATGAATTTAGGTCTTCTTTTTTTTTTTTTCTAACCTGTATCCTAGCATTTAGACTTTGTTTGAATTCCTGATGCTACAAGGGAACCTATGCTAATTGTGTTTGTTCTCTGCCAAAGTCTAAGATCCGTCATTTCTGTATAGATTAATAGTTTCGTTCAATGAAGATATTATTAGAAAAGAAAAAAATTAACACCAAGTATATTTGTATCCACAACTATGTAAAAATGTGACCTCATGTCTGATCAAATCCAGTTACATAACATATATTCATTTACTTGAAATATCAACCCAAAGATACATGCATTGGTGGCAGAATCAGAAGTTTATACTGAGGAGGCAATGTTATCAACTAAATACCGTGTTCTCAGACAAACTCCCTTTTGGGGGTGGAATCTTCACTTACTTCCTATGCTGCCTGGATCGGATCCCCTTTCTCGACTATTTTCAGAAATCAGGATCTCTCATGAAATCATAAAAGAGTTATATTGTTTCTCCCATATTACTCCTTAGGGAAAATCAACTTACTGTTTAATTTAAAGAGTGTGTAGGCTTATCTTTTATGCTATAAACTGTGTAGATTTTTCCAGAACAATACCATACAAATTATTTTTACTGCCACATAAAATTATGTGAATCTCACCTATTCAACCTGACTGTGACCCCAGCACATTGTAGTTACTGAAAACTGTATTAGTTTATCACCTCCTCACCTCCCCCTTTTCACAGAGTCACATAAATGAGTTTATACAGTGTTTTGAGTTTCTCCAACTTGATTCTTGGCTATATTATTTAATACTATGTCTCATGTATTATAAAGTGCATTTCATGGTTATTAGTAATTGCTAAGAGTGGAAAGTACTGTAAGTTTTAATATGCTTATAGGATATTCCTATAAGTACTATGGAGAAATGCCTTTTTAAATACTTATTTTTCATTAGAATATTTCTCTTTTAACTTCAGGGTTGCAATGAATTTTATATATTTAAGAAAATACATCTATGTCAGCTATTTAAAGACTATTTTTTGCTCCATTGATTGAGCTGTATTTTCCTTTTTCACTCTCTATTTTGTTTCTGTTATCACTTTTGTTTATTTTGTTGCTGATATTTTAGGTGTTAATTATTTATTTTAGTTTATAGTTTATCACAGGAAGAACATGGGAGAATTGAAGTAATACAGGGGAGGATGTGAGGAGACACAGCTATCAAGTATGTGCCGTCCTACAGGATAAGTTCATCTGTCTGCTGGGTATCCTTCAACAACGTGTTCCTTGATTAGAAAAATAAGTACTAATTTTGAGTGCTGAATTTTATTTCACTAATCTACAAATCTGACCATAGACAGCATCGAAATGTTGTAACCACTACCAGTTCGTCACGGGTTTTGAAAGGAAGAAGTATGTGTCAAGCAATCCACATTTCTTTTGTTTTCAGGATTGTTTTGAATGTACAGGGTAGCTGTGTGCATTTCCATAAAAATTTAAGTACTGTAGTATACATTCCAGTGAAAACAGTAAAGTATCTAAGGTTTGTGTTGGACCTTTACTTAATTCGAACTCCTCCAGAAATTGATGTCATATTAACAATATTTAGCTTTACAGTCAACGAACCTGGGGAAATTAAAAATTTGTGTAGTCCTATTTTGTTTTTTCCCACAAAATGTAAATAGCTTTAAGTGTACATAGCCTATAAGTATTCATTTAGTTTCTTTTCTCTTACTTTTCTGTGTCCATCCCTCTTCTTTTCCATGCTTTCCTTTCATTTGAACATTTTTATTGCTAAATATTCTACTGTCTACGTTATTTTGTTTATTACTATTGCTTCTCTAAACATAAAACGACATAAAGCAAAAAAATGTAATGTGTCACTGTGTAATTGCTGCTGTTCTCATACTCTGCAGAAATGTTGCACCTGTCCTACAGTGGCATGGACTGTGGACACAGATGGCCATACCTCGGTGATGGAGTGGTAAATCCAATTGCTACCTGACTTTCATTTCCCAGCTGTTAATTTTTAGCTATGAAATCCAATTGAAATCTTATGTTATCACGTACACTGATTCTTCAATGAACTCATTTTTATTTCTAATACTATGTTTGTGGATGTGGTCTCCTACTCGCTTTTTGGTTGCTTTTTATTTATGTGCATGTTTGTGTATTCATGTGTGAGTATGTGAACACGAGAGGGCATTGTATCCGAGGTCAGAAGACGGGACCTGATGTCCTGGAGATAGAATGAGACCCAGTTTTAAGCTGCCTAATGAGAGTGCTAGGCCTGCAACCCTGGTTTGTCTGCATGAGTGTGACGTGCTCTTTGCTGTTGAGCCATCTTCCAGCCCCCAGATTTTCTTTTGATTCAGAAGAATATGTCCTTTGCAAATAGATGCAGTTTATCTTATCTGTGATGTGGAGAAGACATAGAAGAGATAATTATACCTAATATTTGTTTTTCTCATGGGTTACCCTGATGGCAAGCTTCAGTATGAGGTACAGTAGGAATGTTAAGTCTTGACATCTTTGTCTGATTTATTTTCTTTGGAGTAGTAAGTTTTGTTCTTTTTTGTTTGTGTGTGTCTGTGTGTTTGTATGTCTTCATGACCAACATGTGTTCATGTACCAGTAGACATCAGAGATTAATCTATGGTATTGTATTTCAAGTGGCAGACTCCTTGTTTTTGTTTTAAATTTAATAGATTTTACTTTATGTAAACAGCTATTTTGCCAATATATATGTGTATGCAACTCTTTTGTGCCTGGTACCTACTGAGGCCAGAAGAGGGCACTGTTTCTCCTAGAGACAGAGCCACTGATGCCTGAGTTACCACATCGTTCCTGGGAATTGAAACCAGGTCTTCTCTGCTGCCCAAGAGGAGAGGGTGCCTGAATTGGCCTTGCCCCACTATCACACTGATGATTATCTCGAATATCACCATAGAATCTTCATCAGGCGACGGATGGAGGTAGAGACAGAGACCCTCATCAGAGCAACTGACTAAGCTCCCAAGGTCCAGTTGAAGAGCAGAAGGAGGGAGAAGATGAGCAAGGAAGTCAGGACCTTGAGGGGTTCGTCCACACGATGAGACAGTGGGCCTGATCTAATGGGAGCTCACCAAATCCAACTGGACTGGGACTAAACGAGCATGTGATCAAACCAGCCTCTCTGACTGTGGCTGCCAATGGGGGCAGACTGAGAAGCTATCGACAATAGCACTGGGACCGGTTTCTACTGCATGTACTGCCTTTTTGGGACCCTAGTCTATTTGGATGCACACCTTCCTAGGCCTGGATGGAGGGGGGAGGGCCTTGGACTTCCCAAAGGGCAGGGTACCCTGCTTTCTCTTAATGAGGGAGGGGGAGAAAGGGAGTTGAATGGGGAAGTGGGAGGAGAATGGGAGGAGGGGAGGAAGTGTACATTTTTGAATGGAAAAAAAAAAAAAAAAAGAAACCAGGTCTTCCGGAAAAGCAGCTAGTGCTCCTAACTTTTTAGTCACCTCACTAGATATAGCCACCTTGGTGTTTTTGCTTGTTTGTTTTGACAGGGTGTCTCACTGGGACCCACATCTCACAGATTAGACTGATTTACCAGCTGAGGAACATCAGGTATATGATTGTCTTGACTTTGCATGATATAAATTATAAATGGATATGCTTATGTTTTGTTGTCATTGATGATGCTTTTTTTTAAAAAATATAGATTATAGGTATTGAGAGCAGTTCTACAAAGCTGTTGTAGCAAGCACTTTACTACTTGGGCTGTTTCCTCAGTTTAGTTTTATTTCTAACCTTGAGCAAAACCTATTTAATAAAACAAACATATGATTCTATGTATTTCACTTAAATGTTAAAAAATTTCACTTCAGGACCTAACTAGTAGATTGAAAGACATGTCTTTCGTTTGTTTTTATTGATATTTTATTGAGCGTGTATATCACATGTGAGTAGTCTTGAGACACATGTTGGGTATAAGCATACAGGGAGTGCACATCTGTTTATTTTTTTTTTAGTCTAAAAACTTGAGCCTTTGAAGATACAGTGATGTGTGTGATTTTTTTTCTAATGCTGTTTTGCTTTAACGAATTCCATTTTCTACATAATGTGTGAAGTGGTTTATTGTGAATCAGTGTTGGATTTGTGAAATCCCCTGCCGTTCAGATAACTACTCATTTTAAAAATCAATTTATATGTGTGTAATATAACACATTAACTATCTCCTTTTTTATCTGATACAGGGTTTCTCTGCAGCTTTGGAGTCTATCCTGGAACTAGCTCTTGTAGATCAGGCTGGCCTTGAACTCACAGAGATCTGCTTGCCTCTGCCTCCTGCTTGCTGGGATTAAAGGTGTGCCCACCACCACTATCTTCTAAATCTTAATTGAATATTTGTGACTCATGAACCCATTGTTCCTATGTTTACTCTTGCTCCTCTTTTTTTTTTTTTTTTTTTTTTGGTTTTTCGAGACAGGGTTTCTCTGTGGTTTTGGAGCCTGTCCTGGAACTAGCTCTTGTAGACCAGGCTGGCCTCAAACTCCCAGAGATCCGCCTGCCTCTGCCTCCCGAGTGCTGGGATTAAAGGCATGCGCCACCACCACCCGGCTCTTGCTCTTCTTTTGACATCTTTGTTGGAACAGTATTTTTCCTCTGTATTTTTTTAAATTTATCTTTAATTTTATGTTTGTGCATATTTTGCTTACAGATATGTCTCTGAGTACCTGCCTGGTGTCTTCAGAGGTCAGAAAATGGTGTGAGATCTCTTGGACCTGGGGTTAGAGATATTTGTGAGTTACTATGTGGGTGTTAGAAAACAAACCTGGGTTTGTGTAAAATGACAGCAGGCTGAGCACTAGTATAAATGCATTTATTACTCTCTCCTTTTCATATTGAAAATATTTTTACTGAATATATTCTGATCATTGTTTCCCTTCCCCCATCTTTTACTAAACTCTTTCTCCATTTTTTTTAACCCACCCAAATTCAAACCAATTTTTTTCTCTCTCTCTAGAAAACAACTGGACAAGCTCTCTGCTTCGTGCCCATGGATACGATGAGATCAGCTGCCTCAAGCCCTTGCCTGCCACTGTGAGTTCCCTAATGATGGGATGTAACTTGGAACTGTAAATAAAAACAAACTATTTCTCCTGATTTTTTTTCTAGTGAATCATCACACTTCAACATGGAACTAAACTCCAAACCATCATAGAAGCCCGAAGGGACCTGACCAACTGAGCCTTCAGGAAAACATGCTTAGCGGATCTCAATCTTCCCCAGCAGAGACACAAGTTAGTGGTGCATGGGTTAAATATTCGAGATCAGGTTTTATTCACCCTGGAGATGAGGCCATGAGTTTTTATGAGAGGGTGGGGTACATCAGAGAAGATGGGAGACAGAGGGAAGGCTACATACAATATAAAAAGAGTTCCCACACATGAAATTCTAAAACAAAACAAAAGAAAACAAAATATCAGAAAGCCTCAGAATACAGTGTTCTGAGACTTAATATTCCAACCTTTATTCCTCAATTGCTTTTCTGAAAGGCATTTCCCCAGTTTTCTTCACATAGCTGTAGGCCCCTTAGAGTTGTTCTATCTCAAGACTGTTTAGATTTGTGCTTCCCCAAGGCTAAAAAATGCTGATTTGTTTTGATTCTCTTTTTGTGTCCTTGTAAAACTACTTTGGAGATGCACCTCTTCAGGGAATCATTTATGTGGGTAAGATATTCATTCCTCTTTTAACTTTACAGTGCTAAAGCAGTTAATGTATTCAGGGTAGTCATTTGCTCTCATCTGTGTGATTTTCAAATGTCGCATTTCATGTATTGAGTTGTGTGCTCAGGATTCTCTGTTATTGTTGTTGCTCGTAGTTTCCATTGTGTGATCATTTTATAGTGGTTGTTACTTTGGCTGTTAGCACCTAATAGTACTTGTAATGGACTGCAGTGACAATGAGAAACCTTTAGTAGCCCAGAGAAGATCGGAAAAGAAAAAGGTGCTGAGTGTATCCTGCTCCCTAGGGGTGTGTGCAGGCTAACTACTCGGATGCTCAGGATTGCCTCCCTATTTTCTATATCTCAATGGTGAACATTGTTATATCAAAATTAAGCCCTGTTTTTGGTTCACTGCACCTTTGGAGTCTGCACGTTATAGTTAAAATTTCTTAACTTGAATTATTTGCAATGTATCTTTGTTCCAATTTTTTACTGTTTTTGCTTTTGCTACTATGTATCAACTACACATTTTTTTGTTGTTGTTACAGGTTGGACTTTATTTCCACTTCCCCTGGTTGCTGCTGAGATTTTTTGCCTGGTTTGAACCTGTGAAGTCTTGTGTGTTCTGTAACAGTCTCTGTGAGGCCAAATGTTTATTGTTTCTGTTGTGTGTGGAAGAGATTTCATCCTGTTTTTTGCTTTTAAGGTCTTTCCACTTCTCCTTACCCATAGATCCATGAGGCTGGAGGGGAGATGGCTGATGGTGAGATCTCATGCAGGATGCAGTGCTCCCACGTCTCATCTCTGTATATTGTCCCATTGCGAGTCTCTGGGCTAGTTCTTATCTACCACAAGCTCCTCTGATGAGAGTTAAGTGATACACTGATCTATATGCTCTATGGGTCTAGCAATATTTTATTTGGAATCATTTTACTGTTTTGTTCCTTTTGCAGGATAATAGGGGTTTCCCCCAAGGTCCATGATCTATCTATTCTGAGGTTCTTGTAACATATTAACAGTGTCAGGTATGGGGTTGGTTCTATGGAGTGGGCTAGAAGTCCAATCGAAGTGAGGGGGGGCGATTACTCCAATAATATTGGTGCACTATTACACCTGTATATTGTGCAGGCATGTCACGATTGTAGGTTGCAAAGTTTATCGCTGAGTGATAATGGTTATTTGTTTGTTCCTCTCCCAGCATGCAGAGTACCTTCCAGCTCTATGAACATTAAGGATAAAGCTTCTAGTTGGGTATCAGCCCAATTTCTCCATGGTTGATGACATAAGTAAGTAGTAATCTATCAACAAAATTGTGCCATTACCTTCAGGTTTAGAGAATAACCAAATATCCTTGGCAATAGCTTTCTTGGTGGTATCCTTAGGATCACTGTTGGCTAAAACTCAACAAAAAACAACCCACTCCTAACACTAGAGGTTTTATTTTGTGGTGTAAGATATCTAGTTGGGATATTGCCTCTTCTCTTTTATGGTGACTACCTTTGTATTCCATATATAAATATATATATATATATATATATATATCTTTTTTTGAAATTTTTTGAAATGTTCATATATAAGTACTATATTCAGATAATTTACACACATCATTGGTTCTTTCAATGTCTGTCCAACTAGCTCTCAGTTCATGACCTCTTCATTTAATTATTGTTGTTACATACATGTTATTATGGATATCTAGCTAGCAATTGTTAAGTTCATTAGATGGTGCTCATATGTACATGTATTTAGGGATAGCTTATGATATTTGCACAAGCTTTTTTCGTATCCCATTGGCCAACAACTCAACAAAAATAACCAATTCCTGACACTTAAGGTTTTATTTGATGGTGAAAGATACCTAGCTGGAGTGTTGACTCCTGAATTATATTGCATTATATTGGGACCAACAGGGTCCCAAATAGTCACCGTGGTCAGAGGACCTATTAACAGTTCTATCACTGGAAAATGATGTGGGAGTGTCATATATCAATCTGGTGATTCCATTGGTTAAGTAATAAACTCACTGCTTGGTCTCATAGCTTAGAACATAGGTGGGTGGAGTAAACAGATTAGGATGCTGGGAGGAAGAGGAAGTGAGCTCAGACCCAACAGCTCTGCTCTCTGGAGCAGAGACGCCATGCTCAGCTCTCCCAGGTAGACGTGATAGCTCTGTGCTCTGAGGCAGACGCATGAAGCTCAGACCCATGATGGATGTTGGCTAGAATCTTCCAGGTAAGCGCACCTTGGGGTGCTTACACACATTATTAGAAATGGACTAGTCCAGGTGCGAGATTTAGCCGAGAAGAGGCTAGATATAATGGGCAAGCAGTGTTTAAATGAATACAGTTTGTGTGTTGTTATTTTGGGGCATAAGCTAGCAGGCAACTGGGGTGCTGGGGACACAGCCCCGCCACACTTATTTCAACAGGAAAAGACTGATTGTTCCTCTTTTATCATTCACTAATTCCTTGTAGCTCTTAAGTGTGGGACCTTGTGATACTTTTATAGTACACATTGGAATATCAACTTGTGTAGTGATGGTGCCGATCTGCTTTTGGTATCACTATTGTTGATATTTCATGGGAATGGTTTCCTGACTGTATGTAGAAGATTGTTTCTCATAGCAGACAGTCCATTCCACTGGATGTGAATCTTTCTGACCCTTTTCTGCAACATTCTCTATGTCTTGAGTTCATCTTGGGTTCAGAATGACTTTTTTTTTTGATTTCACAGCTAAGATTAGTCACCTCACTGTCAGTTGCTCTGTTTTCTTTTGACCAGTTGCGTGTTTCTGTAATAGTTCCTATCTGTTACAAAGTGAAACTTTTTTTGCTGAGGGTGAGAGTTATACTTATCAGTGGGCCTAAGAATAGCTATTGAAAATGCAAATAGAAATTATACTGGTTTAGAAAATTGACAACAGTATGTTTTCTTGCAGGGTTTATAGCTTCACTAGCTATGGGTTCTTGGCTAGGTTTAGCATATCTAACTATATCAAACATAAATTTTCTCCATTGGTATGGTGTAAGTCTGTATTACCTACCATAAATATAATAATAAACTATTTCAATACTGGTTTATACCGTCAAGTCACCAATATCCTAGTAAGGGCTAAGCTTTTCGAAATGATGACACTTGAGGAAAGTTGGTAAAATAAAGAAGTTTCTCTAGATTTTATGTAGCATGGTTAGCTGCACTGATTATATTATCATGCCATGGTAGTAAGCTGTCGACCAAATACAAAGCTGAATGAAATAGGAGACTCTCATTTTCATTTTAATACCACTATGTGTTCTAAAATGGACTTCATTGGAGAACTGAATGAAGCTATGTGAAAATTTTGGCCAAATATTGGTTCAGAGGTTTAATGTATGGTAGAGTGAATTGTGTTGCTCTTGTTTTGTTATATATGTGGGACTAATAGGGGAACAGCACAGATCCTTCTCTATTTCCTTAGATTTCAGTCTGGCATTCAGAGCACTAAAATTGAAACATGAGGAGGATCTTAGAGGGGAGTAGCTGAGATGTTGTAGGAAAAAGCTGGAGATTTCCATAGAGTGACCAGCATTGTGGTTTATGTATAATATTCAGTATACTATTTCTCATTTTTATGTCAGTGTAGATCTGGGGAGGTGGCTCAGTCAGAAAAGTGCTTGCATTACAGATATGAATGCCCGAATTTCATTTTTATCCAATATCCAATATAAAAAGACAGGTGTAATGGTTTGGGCAAGCATTTCCAGGACATGAGGGGAAATGATGGTCTGATCGCTGAATACTGTCAGCCAGCCAGGCTATATACTACTTAGATGTTTGCAGTTAACTGAACTGAGATACACTGTCTAAAATGAGCCAGAGGAAGTAGACATCTGCATCATAACATTATTTGTGATGCTGAACAGATGGACTCTCAAGAACTAAGAGTTCATGCACAAACAAGGCTTGTAAAATATCTAATGTCCCACCATGGCTGAAGGAAGACCTAATGAAGTTCCACCTCTGAGTGTGTATTGACACTTGATTGTCGTCTGAGACACAAGGTAGTCAAATTCCTTTAGGGACACTGAGTGGGAGGCTGTTCATTTTGTCATAGGTTGTCCCATATTCGTGCACACACATACAAATGGGATTGGTATAAAAAAGAGAGAGGATACATGAAAATGCAATAAATGATGATATGATGATAGTAGGGTTAAGAGAGGAAATTTTTGATTAGGAAATGGTGGGTAGATTTTTCAAACCTGAATATTTATATATTGATACTGAATAAAAATATTTGTGAAAGATAAGTACCAACTGAGAAAAATAGGGTTTAGCATCAGAAAAGATGGTTTAGTGAGCCAGTAGAGCCAAATCAACAAAGGTCATCCAACAAGAGAAGTATCTATCTCATCACAGATTGTAGAGCAGGGAGTTTGCCTGACGAACAGGATGATTTAGACTGATGAATGAGTAGCAACTTGAGGTAAAGGTAAGGGTTTGATGAGATATGGATTGTTGTAGGAACAATAGTAATAAGACTAGAGACAGGAGAGAATATCTTAATTAAGGGAGGAATTATCTTCCCTGCTTCCATATCTGAGTCCCAGTCTTGGGACTCTTTCTCCTGTTAAGCTGCCTTGTCCTACCTTTATATGAAGGCCTTTTCCATTGTCGGGTTGTATCTTATTTTTTAAGTTTTGTTGTTGTCCCTTTGAGCCCTCTTTTCTGAGGGGACAAGGGAGGTGGGGGCTGGGCCTGAGAAGTCTGCAAACTTTGGCAGGGATATATTGGTATGAGAGAAGAATCTATTTTCAGTATAAACATAGAAACAAAGAAGTGTGAGTGGAGTGTTCTAATGTTATTTGTATCATATCTTCATAATAATTTAATTGAAACTAGCTTTCTTGTGGTTCTGTACAAATTTTACAATTATTTTTACCATTAGCACAAAACAATAAATATATAGGAACTTATATAACCACTGCACATATTATCTGTTCAGGCTTAATTCATAATAATGTTAAGATTTCTTGTCTAGGAATTTGGGATATTCTAAACCTCATAGTGATCTTACTAATCATCTGAAAATGATTTACTGCTTAAGTGTACATATTTTACAATTATTGTTTATTTCTAAACATTTGATTTCCTTATTTTATGCTGATGCAGGGTCTCACCATGCTGCTCATCATAATCTCAGACTCAGGCACAGAGGAGGGACTTCTCGCCTGTCTCCTGTGTATCTTTCACTGAAGAGACAAACCACACACCAAGCTGGTGGTAGTGTATGATGAAGTGTTTTCTGTCTTTCATTTTCCATTGTTAGTTTCCTATGTGTAAATTCAGATGAATTTTTTTTATTTTTCAACAGTGTGATTTATTTATATTTACTAAATATTGTTCACCTTCTGTAAACTAGGCTGTTAAACACATTGGGAAGTAAGCCTGGAATAACCCTCCTACAAACTAGGAGTAACAGAGTTTGAACACTCCAGGTAGGCTAAGTATGATAAAAGTAAGCATTTAAAATATGAGTGTGTGAAAATCATATTTAAGACTTACATAATTATTATGAAAAATAGAATTAGTTTATAGACTGACATTTTAGTAGTTTGATTTTTCTGCACATAATATGACAGTGAGAAGTTGTAAAATGGAAATATACTCTTGCTCAACTGTTTGTACAAATGGGTATAGCAGATGAGAGGTGGGATCTTTGCATATTCCTTCCCTTATAATTCACAGCTCTGGGGTCATTGTTGCCAGCTGAACTCCTTTTATATACACTTATTAACATTTAAAAGGGTCCAATTTTATTTTATTTTATTAAGTTCTTTTCTTTTCTTTTTATTATTATTTATTTATTTATTAAAGATTTCTGTCTCTTCCCCGCCACCTCCTCCCATATCCCTCCCCCTCTCCCAACCAACTCCACCTCTCTCATCAACCCTAAGAGCAGACCGGGTTCCCTGCCCTGTGGGGAGTCCAAGGACCTCCCACCTCCATCCAGGTCTAGTAAGGTGAACATCCAAACAGCCTAGGCTCCCACAAAGCCAGTACATGCAGTAGGATCAAAACCCAGTGCCATTGTTCTTGAGGGCTCAGCAGTCCTCATTGTCCGCTTTGTTCAGTGAGTCCAGTTTTATCTCAGGCTTTTTCAGACCCAGTCCAGCTGGCCTTGGTGAGTTCCCGATAGAACATACCCATTGTCTCAGTGTGTGAGTACACCCCTCGTGGTCCTGAGTTCCTTGCTCGTGCTCTCTCTCCTTCTTCAGCTGAAATTTTATACGCATGTATTTTCAGATTTGTTGGCTATATTTTAAAACCTGGATATATTTGTGCATTTCCTGTTATTTCTTTCCTACTAGAAATCATTTGTCTTCCTTGTCATAGGTAATAGGACGTCGATCCACTGTTCTTTTTCTTGAATAATTTGCCTGAGATCAGCATCCAGTCAATGATTGGTGAAGTAGCATCCACCTGAATCTTCTCCTTTATAACCACTGGGAAAGTCCTGAGCCTTTTCAGAGTCCTAGGTATGTTTTTTTTATTCAAATTCATTAAATGTCAGATCTGTATATGACCACTTTGCTGGGCTTTGTTTTCTTTTATTTAGCTTTTTGAAAAATAATTTTATATATTTACACAATCAGTTTTAGTAATTTTTATCTTAATTCTCCTATCTTATTCAATTCTTTTTTCTGCTGAAACCCTACATTTTAGGTCCCTTTACCATTTTTTTTATTTAAGAAAATTGAGAATTTTATAAGAGACTAGAGTATATACATAATTTTTCATCTCTGTCTCTCCAATGCATTCTGTGTACTCAGCTCTCCATTCTCCAATTCATGACCTCTTCATAAACAGTTTTGAACCTGTGGGTTACAACCCATTTGCAGATCAAATGATCCTTTCACAGGGGTTGCCTAAGACCATTGGAAAGCACATATATTTACATTATGATTCAGAACAGCATCAAAATTACAGTTATGAAGTAGCAATCAAAATGATTTTATAGTAGGGGTTGGACACCACAACATGAGGAAATGAATTAAGGCGCCAGAACCTTAGGAAGGTTGAGAACCACTGCTCTTCATTATGACTATCGTTACATGCAAACATGTATATACACACACACATACAAACACATATATGCATTTGTGTGCAAATATAACCTGCTGATCTATCTACTATTCCTACATTAATCTGTGCATGTAAGGCTAAGACTTCATAATTCAGTTAGGGATTATAATGAGTTATGAAAGTGGTTCTCTACGTTTCTCTATCTTTCAAGGACTCACCCTTATGAAGTTAGCTGGGTTATAGATTCATCATTTACCTCTTGTTACCCAGGCTTTAAGTTCAAAGATGGGTATTAGTTATTGAAAATATATAAGAGCACGACGGAACCATTAGTGATATTTTGCCAAGCAGGTCATGGTCATTCAAGTGTGTCATAGCTGTGTTGGATAATTAATGACTTTACTCCCTAACAGCTTTTACAACCACTTCTTGGACTATGAAAATTAAAGCTAGTCCCCAGGGACCAGGCTTTTATGAGATTTCAGTTCAAATTTTCAGAGACCCAAATCTAAGATGCAGTGATTTCAGCAATAGGAGCCTTGCTGCCACTTCTTGGAAGCAACCAAGTGCAATAGACTATACTCTTGTGCTAGTTCGCTGGACTCCCTTTACCAATGACTCAAAAGTAGTATTATCCTGACGGGCTCTGGAGTTTTGCTTAGATATTCATGGTTTCTGGTGGGCAAATTATCTTCCAAGTTGTGTATAATTTTATATAAACATATACACATATATTTACATTCATAATATGTGTATTATAAAATATACAAATATATATAAATATATTTGGGTAAATATAAAATAATAATTCTCTTGTCAATTGTTACTGTCCTCAGTGTTTCTATTTAGTTTTGAAATTTTACTTCTTCAATCCTCATAGAACTGCTTTGAGTAATGTCTATTAAAAGCATTACTTATATAGTAGATTATTTTATATTTCCTAATCAGTTCAGTGGACTTATACAATGTGATCAGGAAAGACTTGATTCTACTGATTGTGTTGTGCTGGCTTTTTCAGTAAGTTATGTCAGGGTCTATTGTTGATTTTTTTTAAGCTTATCTTGATTTTTTTACTCTTTTTGTACAGTGGTTGTTGTTTTCTGTGTTATCACTTCGTTGGTATTCCTGATCCAGGACAGTGATTACAGTGAGAAATTTAGGTAGTGGAGGAAGTCCTTGAAGAGGCATGAATCAATGTACCTGAACACATAGGGCATATGTGCGAACTGCCTTTCTTTGATCTCAGTTTCCTCTCTTCACTTTACCTCTCTAGCAATCACCATTCCTCCAGAGTTCAATATTTGTGACATCCTGCCTGTTTGAGTGTATCATTCATTTTACAAAATGCATATTTTATATTTACTGTGATGTGTTCTTTTCTTTCAGCAATTCCTGCCTCATGTTATTAATCATTTTTCGTTAGTGCTATAAAATTAACTCATAAGTTATTGCTGTTCAATCCTCTAATTTATGTATATGTTGGTATATGACCAATTTTAATCTGCTATGTTCGCTGTTGAGTCAGAAATTCAATTTTCATATTATTTCAAGTTGTTCCCATAATTTTGTGAGTTATTTGTCTACTTCAAATCTCAGAAGTGTTTGAGAGTCATTGGAATTAAATATAAGTGTTTTAAGCTAGGAAGATTGCCCACTTGTATAATCTTTTTCATGGGAGACATGGGGTTGGCTCCTTAGCACTTACAGAAACAAACAAATAGACAAACAGAGCAAGATTGTGTGCCACTGTTATCCCAAAATGATGTGACAATCTAATAAGCTTCTGAACTCTAGGATCAGTCTCAGGTACTGTCTCAAAAAAGCAGAATTGGAGTGATGAAAAATCGGATATTGACCTAGCATCTGTACACCTCTACATATATTGCTGTATCCCCACACAGCCTTAATCATATACACGAATGCAATTTAAGTGCTTAATTTGGTACATAGTTTTATTTCACCAATCTAGTTTAACTATATACTATTTCCAAATGTCTTCAGTGAAACTAATTTGCCATAAGTTTTGAAACAGAGCAAAAGTTCAACACTTCCATTGTTCCTTTTCTTTATCTGATATTGTGTTAATGTTGACTATATTATGGCAGTTACTTGTGAAGTTTAGAAAAGTTTGTCCTTGGAATGAAAAGTAAGGTACCTGTCTTTGGATAGGGATACTCTTATTCTCTAATAGCTTTGATAATTTCTGATTTAAGACTATGAATTGTGACATTAAAAATAAATTGGTGTTATTAATAATCTTCAATGAATATTTATAGCTTTAAGTATTCTTATACTAATTTATCCCTGTGTTTTTTCATTTTAGGAATGTTGCGTATTTCTGATACTGTGTCTGACAGCTGCTCGGTGAGGTAGTAGTTCAAGCCATAAAGCCGCTTCCTCTTCTCATCCTGAGAAGCTCACACTGGAGACCATTACTCTTATCCTATGGTATTATAAAATCAGTTGCTTTTCTTTTTTTTTTGATAAAATGCATTTTATTAATTCTTTGAGAGTGTCATATATTATATTCCAATAGTATCCATTTCCTTCCCTGTCTCCTCCCAGATCCGCTTCCTTATTCTCTTTTCATTCAATTTCGTGTCCTCATTAAAAAAAAAAAAAATTCTAGTCCCATTAGTACTGCCTATATTCTCAGCTGTGTGGTTCTCCAGTGGAACACGTTAGATCCCGGGGCCACATCTTTAAAGAAAGCTCATTCTTACCTCCTGATACTGTCATGTACCAATGGCTCCTCAGCTAGGTGTGGGACTTCATTCCCATCTCCCTCTTTCAAAAATCTTGGCTGAAATTTTGTCTGAGTCAAACGTGCACAGGTTTTGTGCACGTTGTCACAACCACTGTGAGTTTATACATGCAAATCTCCTCTTGTGTCTAGAGAAAACTGTTTCCTTGTGGTCTTCTCTCTCTTCTGGTCCTTACAGGCTTCCTCTACCCTCGTCTGCAATGGTCACTGAGCCTTGAAAGGAGGACTGTGTGATACAGATGCCCTATGTTCAGCATGTTCAGCAAGCTCAGTCACACATTCTCTGCACCCTGATCGGTTGTAGGCTTCTGAATTAATTGCTTTTTACTGCAAAGAGAAGCTCCCCTGCCAAGGTCTTGGTGATGCACTCATCTGTGGGTTAACAAGAAGTACTTAGGAGTCAGGTTGATGACATGTACCATTATCAGAGAAGAAGCTGTAGGTTCTCCCCTGGGGCCTAGGGCCAATAGCCGAGGTTATTGATCCCCATGTCAGCACAGGATTCTGTTTCATCCTGTGTTCCGGGACCTCAATCCAATCAGAAAGCATCTGCTTATTCCTATGGCATCCATACCATACAAGTGGGCATGTCCTGTCAGGTGGGTTGTTTCTGTAGCTTGCAGGATCCATAGCCACATAAGACTAATGGTTACTCTCTCCTCTAACACTATGGAAACCATTCAGTAGGGATGAAACTTCAAGGTCTGTATCATCCCCATTTCTCTAGGTTCTATGATTCAAGTATGTGGTGCCTTTAGTTACAGGGTATTACTCTAGAATTTGGGAGGGTAACTAATTCCATTGGCAATGGCCTCTAACATTTAGGGACCTAAGAGACCTCACAGGCCAACAGCTCCAAGAAAGGTAACCTACTGCTGACTTTGGATTTTTGTTTGCCTACAGTGTCTGGTAGTGGCATTGCTACCCCGTTACAGTGCAGCTCCATTTAAGTTCTTCCTCTGTATGCATATATCTATATTTTAAGAAACTTCTTTACTACTAGATTTTATAGGACTTAAGGGTCTTTAGTGTTATTTAGCCCACTCTATTCCCTCCTTTATTTCTAAGAATTGTAATCATAACTTTTACAAATAATTTAAAGAAAAAGCCAAGTGCCTGGAGATAAAATTATGAAATCATCCAATCATTTTAGGTCTCAGATATGTTCTGGAGTTTCTTTTAAGAAGAAATTTAACTGCACTAATTCAGAATTACTGAATGATTTTGAGGGTTTTTTTTTTGGTAACTTGTCAAAAATAAGTAGTTTCTTATATTCCTAACTCTAGCATGATAAAGTTTATATTTTCCTTTCACCTGACAGTGTTCAAGGCACAGAAGTAGCAACCAAATAAGCCACAAACAAGGAAGTTACTTTTTTTTATTGTTTTCATAGTGCTATATGTTTTCCCTCATGCTTCGAATTTCCTCAGATCTTGTCTTTTTCTTATACTATTTATCCCTGTGTTTTTTTCATTTTAGGAATGTTGCTGTGCTTCCTCTTCCCATCTTGAGAAGCTCACACTGGAGACCACTACTCTTAGCTTATGGTATTATAAAATCAGTTGCTTTTCAAAACCTGTTTTTTTAATTCTTAATTACTTATGCAGATTTCCAGATTAACATGATTTTCCTCTCTCCTCTGAAAAGGGATGTGGGAAGAGGATGATGTACAGAACCTGGGCTTTCAACAGCAGTCAGGTATGTTCAATGGAGAGGCAACAGCTTCTACTACAGCCACAATGCCAACCCTGAGGCTCTCTGACAACTCACACCATACTATAAATGGTCTAGTCCATTAGTTCTAGTGTATTTTTTTAAGTAGGGATGATATAGCAAGAAAGTTAATAAGAGTTAATTTGGTTAGTCTTATGTAATCATACATGGGCGCGATTAAAATTATTGCAGCAGGTCCTTTTCCCCATTAGTATAACAACCTGCAGTGTGACTTTCATGGCTTAGAGAGGTGTATGCTGTGGCTCACGTGGGAAATTCTAAAGAAATGCTGTAGCGTCATACCATGAGGTCAGTACAGAACATGCAACTGTGGGGAGATGGAAGACATAGTGATGGAAAACTTTTCACGGAGAGGGGTCTGTATTAGAGAACATATGGTTAACTGGATTTTCCCTCATTTAATAATGGTATTATATTTACTAATAAAGTGTTTAATTATGTAATAATTAAAGGACTATGAAATTATTATGGCAGGGCAGTGGTGATCATGCCTTTAGTCACAACACTTGGGAGGCAGATGCAGGGAGATCTCTGAATTTGAGGCCATCCTGGTCCACCATATGAGTTCCAGTGCAACTAAAATTAAATAGAGAAATCCTGTTGCAAAATCTTACCCCCCAAAAAAAACAGTATAAACAAAAACAGAAAAATAATTTGTTATGTTACTTTGTATTAATGGCTGTCATTCACTGTTGCACAAAAATTAGTAGTTAATGATTGAATAATATATTTGTGACGTAAGAAAACACTACCAATCGTTTTGTCCATACAGGCGATGATCTTACTGGATTGTTCACCTCATTCAAGACCTCAAAGTATACCAAGAATCATGCCCCTGTGCCGTTTCCTTGCCTTATTCTCAACTGCTCCTTACTTAAGTAGTAACTGAATAGACAAGCCTTGGATGTGATCTATCTGCCACCTGGTCTTTCCTTATAAAACTCAATTCATTGCATTTTATCTGTTGTGAACCCATTTCCTGTGAATTAAAGCATTTGGTTCAGGGAGCATGTTTTCTGGACTTGGGGAACTGTATTTACTTAAACTCCTAAAATAGTGCATGAACTTACTAGTTTGAAAAGAGTTATTAAAGTTGCCTCATTTATACACATAGTAAGTAATGATTGCGGCAGTAGGGTCCATTCAGTGGAGCTGCTGGTTACCGTGGCAGATAAGATCTATTTCTGCAGTTGTTCCAAGTCATTGCCATTGATGGGTTAAGCTTTTTGGTGATACATTTGCCTAAATTCTATATGTAACCCCAATAAGCTCACCGTGTCATTGAGCAGAAGTTTAGATCAATTTTCTCTTAACTTTATTCATGTCCTGTCCTGGATGAATGTACCTTTCCTCTGACTCTCTAAGGAAAGATAAATATCGGGAAAGTATGTCAAGGTGCAGTTTATTTTTGTTTTTAATTTCAAAAAATTATTTCTTTAAATTTTGAAATTATAATTAAATTACATACTTTGCTCCTATGCTTTCTTCCTCCAAATTGTCCTCTACATCCCTCATTGATTTTCTTGAAATTCATATCACTTTGAAACATTATTTGATGTTATAAACACACAACTATATGTATGTACATATATATTTCTGATTAAATGCCCTCTGCCAGGTCTGTCTAATTTTACACTTTATGTTTTTTTCTGTATTGATCATTAAGAATATAATAATCATTTGTGTGTGTGCTTCCCTTGTTAAAATAAGATTTCTTTTTTATTTCAAGTCATCTGGATGAGTAACATTTTCTCTAGTATTCTTTGCTTTACCTCATATAAAAGAAAAGATTTGTCTTTTGAGCATTGCTGCTAACAATCTTCTAAAGCTCATGTGAAACTCTAGATGGCACCTGTGTACCTCAAATTTTCATAAGTATATTCTTCAGTTAATTGATTGATTCCAGATCTCCTCTTATTTTTCCTTAGGAAATTTTCATTTTTCCAGCATCCTGTGACAAGGAAGAAGCCTGTGGAAACCTCATCTACCAGAATGGGCGTTAAGTACTTTTATCTCTTTTTCAATAAAATCTATGGTTGCAAAACTTAGAAAGTCTTTCTTTTATTAATGTTTCAGAGATTAAATTCAAGATATATTATTTTTGTATATTTTAAAAACTATACCTACATTTTGGTGTATGATCTGCCTTTTTGTTTAAGTATATTACAAAATTCAAACTTATAATGTAATTGCATCATTTTCCCATTTTCTCTTTTTTCCAAATCCTACCATATAACTCTCATTGTTCACTTTTAAATCTGTGATCTCTGTTTCATTGTTTGCTATTTTTTTCTTGACAGGGTTTATCTGTGTAACAGCCCTAGTTGTTCTGGAACTAGCTCTGTAGACCAGACTGACCGCAAACTCAGAGACTGTCCTGCTTCTTCCTCCCAAGTGCTGGGACTAAAGGTGTATGCACCACTGCCCAGTTTATCATTGTTTGTATACACACACACACACACACACACACACACACTCCTAATTTTAAAAATAAAAAGTCAACTGTATTTTGTAAGTGAAAAAATTCAATTTTCTGTGTTATCCAATTATGACAGAACAATTGAGAAACATTTTACCTAGTATACATTTTGGGAATTTATGAGTTAAATGATATAAAAAAGATGATATTTTTGAACCCTTAATTTATCTCAAATAGTTGTGTTTTTATAAGTGTGTGTGTGTGTGTTGTGTCATAATCTGGTAAATTTTACAAGAGGGAAGTGTGAGAGGAATGCTTTTATCTTGTTCTTAAATTCTGGATGGCAATTTAATTGATCCTGGATTTCTTTTGGTTTTGTATAAATTTTAGAATAATTTTTTATCATTATGAGATAAGAATGGCACATATGGAGACCTGTGTGCCCACTGTACCTCATGTATATATTGTTTGTGAATACTGCATTCATTATAATATTAAAATTACTTGTCTAGGAATTTGGAACTGTCTAAACCTCATATAGATCTTATTAGTCATATAAAAGTGATTTACTATTTAAGTGTGTATGTTTTACTGTTTTTTTCTAAATATTTCACTTTTAATCTTGATGTAGGGTCTTACATACCTGCTCATAACAACCACAGATGCAGGCATGGAGGAAGTGTTTCTTCCCAACTTTGGAGAAGGTTTCATGGAAGAGAAATTTGTCACACCTAGCTGGTGGTATTGTAAATCTTGATATTTTTTCCCTTTTGTTTTCAATTCCTAATTTCTTGATTGTAAATTTCAATTACATTTTTATATTTTGATGTAGTACCCATGTTTGCTGGCTATATTTTTAAATCTACATTTTATGTATAGTTTATTATTTCTTTAGAAATCACATGCTTTTCCCCCCACAAGACATAGTTTGTGTTTCTTGCTATAAAACACCTACTCTTCATTTTGTCCAGCAACTTCCCTGAAGATAGTGTCTGTTGTAATAGGAGCGGTGGGGCTGCGTCCCCGGCATTTGGCCGCCGCACGGCTAGCTTTATACCCGAAATAATTACACAGAAACTATATTCTTTTAAACACTGCCTGGCCCATTATTTCCAGCCTCTTATTGGCTAGCTATTACATGTTGATCTAACCCATTTCTAATATTCTGTATAGCACCACGAGCTGGCTTACCAGGAAAGATCTTAACCTGCATCTTCTGGAGCTGACTAGGCTTCTTTCTCCCAGCATTCTGTTCTATCTACTCCACCTACCTAATTTTCTGTCCTATCAGGCCAAGCAGTTTTCTTTATTAGTTAACCAATGAAAGCAACAGATACGATACAAGACCCACCTCCATCAAGTGTCCAGTAAATATTCTGTGAAGTGTTATCCATTTTTTTCTTTTCCTTTTTAGCTTTTGGGGAAGTACGAAACCCTTTAGGGTTCTAGGTCTTACCTCCATTTAAATTCATAAAATTCTAGTTCTATGCATGCCTTGATTTGTTGAGTCTTTCTTCTTATTGGAGTAATCTTTTATAATCAATATACAATTTTTGTACATTTATATGATCATGGGTCATTTTCATCCCGATTCTCATGTCTTGTCCTACTCCTCTACTGAATTGAATTTTCTAAGTCCCTTTGCTCTATTTTTTTAATTTAGATATGTGAGCATTTAATACAAGACTTGTGTATTTGTCCTAAGTTTTGAAATATGAGTGAAAGTTCTAAGTCTTTTTCTTTATTTTTCTGTCTGAATACTGTATCAGTGTTGTTTTGTAGTTCCTTATGAGTTTAAATGAGTTTTGGAATAGAGAGAAAGTAATATTTCTTCACAGTTCATGGGATACTAGTAATTTCTAAGTAGCTTTGAGAATTATTGGCTTCCTAAAGTCCATGAATGGCTGTTTTTAAAAATATAAATGCATGTTATTAATAATCTTAAATACATGTTTATATCCTTAAGAATACTTACATCTATTTGTTCATATTTTGTCCTTTAAATTACATCATTAATTTCTCATACAGAATTGGACTGTGCTGCTCAACGAGGTTCCAACTCAAGTAGTAGAGCCAAGCTTCCTCTCTGCATCCCGAGAGCTGACACTGGAGGAGAATATTTCCCTGAGTTTGTGGTATTGTAAAACCACTTGCTGCCCAATTCCATTTCTGATTATTGATTACTCATGTAAATAATTAGATTGAACTCTTTATTTTGTTATGTTCCTGATTTTGTTGAGGTCATTAGATCTCAGTGCATCTTCTTGATAACTTTACACAAGGCTATGCCCTTTCATAGAAATGTAAAAATCCCATTTGTCATTGGCACCAGACATCTAAGAATAAGAATGATACAGTATTTGTTTTCCCCAAAAACTTCTTTGAGGAAACCTTCCAGGACAGTGTGTGATGGACATGGCAAGGATGAATGTTCCTGGTTACTATTCAACATGCAGAAGTGCCATCCTTAACGGCTCTGCACAGGTGCTGTTTCCCTACACAATATGTTGTATTTTCTACATGCGGGGCATTTTAATCGCCTATTATTTCATATTCTGTCCACTTCATTGTCAACAGGTGTACAGATTTGTATTTTCCCCTTTTATATTTTATATATTTTATTATGAAATAGACTCAAATGAATGATTTTGCAAGTTAAGTAGTAACCTAATTTTTTATAAATGCAGGTATTCACGTGGTAAATTTTCGTGAGCAGTCAGGAAAGGAAACAAACAACACGATGACTTGGAATGGGATACAGATTTGCTGAGCCTTCATTACTCTCCTCAACTGGATCATGAAACAAGTTGGATTTTTTTTTGTGGGATGATGGATAATGCAGGTGAGGCCCTGAATCATCAAGACACTTCATTTTTTTGTGGAAAAGTGTTTCATATCTGACATTCAGTGCAATGAGTTATTCTGGTAATGAATAAAATGGGGAAGATGTTGACACTAGGGGAAAATTGATAAAATTACTGAAAACCATAGATTTACTATGTAGATTCCTAAAACTGTCAGCAATGGTGTTTAAGCCAACATATCATGTTTAAATGGAATTCAACAATGGGGAACTAAATATCTGTGAAAGTCTTTCTCTCCCACCTTAATACTGACAGGAACTGAGATAACACCTCTGTATTGTTTAAAGTAGATTTTATTTAGTGGATCTCTTTTCAGATGAACATAAAATAACATTCTACCTGAGAGGCTAATTGGATATTTTGAAAGTGAAAGCTAGTGTAGCCTTCATAATTATTCACCACACCAAATCCAACTCAGTGGTTTTCTTGTTCAGGAACATAACTCACCTCTTTAGTGTAGCGTCAGGCCACTTGTTCTTTTTGGCCACCCAGAACTGAAATAATCACACAGAACCCATATTAATTAAATCACTGCTAGGCCCATTAGCTCTAGCTTCCTATTGTCTAACTCTTACATATTAATTTTGAAAGACCCTCACCCGCTTGGGTGCAGACCTAAGAGGGAGAAACCCCATGACTCAATTAACCAGTCCAGCAGATGCAAGAAGCAATAGGGTTTATTACAATAGCGCCACTGGGTGTCTCTAGTCTCCAAAGAGGTAGAACACCCCGAACAGCAATTCCGGCAACTTATTATAGGCAAAATCACAACATTATAATAATGGGTATTAGGTACAGAACGATTGGATACAACATTTAGCATTTTGGAGAAATTTTAGGCCATAGCTATTTGTTTCTTCTATTTCCCAGAAATACCATAAAAACCCCAATCCCTGTCCTGGAAAGTCCTCAAATCCCTATCATGGGTGCTAGGTGTTTCTTGGCAGGCTGGTGGTAGGGTGCTTTTGTCAGGGGGCAAGTTTCCTGGCAGGCTTGGTGGTGCAGGGTACTGTGGTAGAGTGCAAGTGGCAGTCAGGGCTGTTTTGCAAGTTTTGTACTTTTCCATTGCTGATTGCCATCTATCTAGGGCATGTGCTAAAATCAGCTGCAAGCAGGCTATTTGAGTTGGGGGTCTCACAGTTTAACCCATCTCTATTAATCTGTGTATTGCCACATGGCTGTGGCTTACCGGTTGAAGTTCCCAGCATCCCCTGCAGCCTACATGGCTTCGCTTTTACTCATCCTCTTCCTCCCAGCATTTCCCCACCTACCTCTATTCCCTGTGTAGGCCCTAGACAGTTTCTTTATTAACCAATGGTATTCACACATACAGAGTGAAATCCCACATCATTTTAGAACTCCTTTTCTCTTTTCTCCTTCCACATCACACATTCATATTACTATTGGTTAAAATAAAGTGCATGAGCAGGAAGACACACACCAGCATTTTAAAAGATTTAAGCAATTAACAACTTAGAGCTTGTTTTGCCCACTTGGAAAATCCTGGGGTATGTGAAAGATAGAAGCCATGGCTATTCATGACCCAGGATGGACAAAGAAGCATAAAGATTCTGCATTTGAGAAAAAAAAGGAGAATCACACACTCACACAGTAGAATGGACTGTCTGATCATTCTACACATCTTGTTCACACTCTTTACTCTGCAGAACATCCCTTGTTACTGTACACACAAACCTGCCCTACTGCACAGAGGGTACAGTGATAAGCTCCCAATTGTAGGGCAGTTAGAGCTCACTGATAAGAATGGAATGCATGAGTGATTACAACCCTGGTGCAGTTCACTAGGAGACCCATTTACAGCTGGTTTTCAGGCACCATATTGTAAGACATATGTGTTTACATTCATCCTGCTGGAGAATAAGCTCCCAGTTAGGTCACACTCTGTTGTGAGGAGCGGCGGGCTGCGTTCCTGCCCAGCTCCCACATGGCTAGGTTTACACCCGAAATAATTACACGGAAACTGTACTCTTTTAAACACTGCCTGGCCCATTAGTTCTAGTCTCTTATTGGCTAACACTCACATCTTTATTAACCCATTTCTAATAATGTGTGTTGCACCATGAGGTGGTGGCTTACCGGGAAGGATCTTAACCTGCGTCCATCTTGGAGAGGAGAGCTATAGCATCTGCTTGACTCAGCTTTCTTTCTCCCAGAATTCTGTTCTGTCTTCCCCACCTACCTATGTTCTGACCTATCAAGCCAAAAAATTTTCTTTATTAATTAACCAATGAAACAACAGATAAATAGAAGACCCACCTACATCAAGGTACAGTAATGCATCTTATTTCACTCAGCATTCTAAATCTTGAGGAAAAGATTTTTGCTCCTGTTTTTATCTATAACCACCAGAGTTCATTCAAGTTTCCAAGACAGGGTGCATTGCCTTCTTTTGTGACAGAAGATGAGGTGGTCTCTGTGATCATCATTCCTTAGACTTCACAAAAAAGACTGAACAAGGCGGCATTAGGAACAATTAAATTTACAGTGCTGTTTAATATTTCCAGTGTAGAGCAGAATTTGTTTCCTTTTGTTTAGTTCCTTACAAGGTTTGCACTCCAGCATGCATTGTCAGCTATTGCTTATATTCTCTCTTCCTTCTCAGTTGTATTCCATGTATGAAATCCTATTTGTTCATGTATACTGTACATTTTTGCTCTCTCTCTCTCTCTCTCTGGTTATCTCTCTTTCTTAAAAAATGAACATGAAAACAAACAGAAAACCTAACAAAACACTAAATGACACAACAAAACACACACATAAAACAAACAACAAAACGGTCATAAACATGAATTCCATTCTATGTCTCCTACTACTCCTGGGCATGAAGCCAGGCCTAGATGGTGTTTAATATTCTCACTGACTCTATTTCAAAAATCTAATTTTCCATTTCTCAATGAATGTAAATTTAATAAATGTTTCTTATAGGAATAGGACTTTGTGTTCAAACATTTTATCAATATTTGGCTTGTAATTGGTTTGAACATTTGGAAGTTTTGTTTATGCCTATTACTATTGAAGTGTCCTAAAATATGTTCATATCTGATAGCAATTTAAAAGCAATCAATATGTGAAGAAAAAAATTCCCCAGCTAGGCATGCCACCAATAAAATCTCCAGGAACTGATCCCATCTCTCTAAAAAGCTATGGTGGAACTGTTATAGCTTAGAAAGGCTAGAGGATGATGTAGATATCTAAGAAAATATTTTGGTTCCAAAACATGATATATGCTCAGAGGATGTGTGGGAATGGTGAACAGAGTGATAGGAAATCCTTTTACAGAGTTGAATTAGAATGGGAGAACGTGTATTTTATAGTATTTTTTCTTAATTTTTCATCATTTAATCATGATGTTATACTTGTCGATTAAGTGTAAGAAGTAAAGCGGTAAGAAATTTCAATTCTATATTTTAGTAGCTATATTTCATTGTTACTCAAAAATAAAGAGTTGATTGCTGAATCCTATATTTTTGACATAACCTTTATATGAGAAAATGATACCAGTAGTTTTTTTTTTTTTTCAGCCTATGGCCTATTTACTTTATTACGCATTGGGACTTCATCCCGTCTTCATATCACATCAAGTACCAGACACTCTTTTTTACCTATTCCTTGATTCTCAAACTGAGATGAAGTTAAGTAAGAGTGAGTAGATGAACCTTGAATCTGTTTATTTGGTCCCCAAGTTCTTTCCTTATATGACCCAGATTAGTTCATTCTCTCTGTCGTCAATCAATTTCATCTTAATGGAAACAATTCCTCTTTTGGTAGGATGTTTGCTGAATGTGGGCCACTCCATTCACCAAACTGTTAAGGAAGCTCACGAACTTATTAGTTTGAAAAGACTTCTTCAATTTGCCTCATGTATATAAATAGCAAGTAACGATTGCAGTATCAGGGACTCTTAAATGGAGTCATGGAGGGAAATCCCAGCTCTGCAGCTGTCCCAAGTCATAACCATGCTGTGCTGAGCTTTTGGGCGATGCATGTGTCTTAATTCCATCTATAACCCCTTAAAACTCATTTTCTCACCAAGAAGAAATTTAGTATATTTATTTTTAATTTTATGGATGCCATGTTCCAGATGATTGGACTTTCCTTTATGTCTCTCTAAGTAAAGACAGCTTGCGGGAAAGTATTTCTAAGCTGAATTTAAATTTTTCAGATATTTAAAATAATTATTACTTTCATTTTCCCCCTAAGCTTTCTATATCCCCCTTGTTCTGTTTAATATTTATGGTCTCCTTTTAGATTGTTTTTACATATATGTATGTATGTAAATATATATGTATGCATATATGTAGTGGGAGCTGCGGGCAGGCTTGTGTTTTATCCTGCCCAGCTCTCAGCCACCTGGCTAGCTTAAACCCCAAAATAACAACACACAAACTGTATTAATATAAACACTACGTGTCCCATTTTTATTAATGTGTTTAGCACCACGAGGTATGCTTACCAGGAACATTCTAGCCTATGTCCATCCTGGGTTTGAGCTTCATCACATCTGCCCAGGAGAGCAGAGGCATGGCATCTGCCCGAGGTGTCTTACCTCACTTCCTCTTCCTCCCAGTATTCTGTTCTGTTTATTCCACCCACCTATGTTCTAACCTATCAGGGCCAAGCAGTTTCTTAATTAATTAACCAATGACCTTCCTCCATCTCATATATATATATATATATATATATATATATATACATATATATGCAAATATAGTCTACAATATCTGCATAAATTTGTTTTATGCTTTTGGGAATGACAATTTTGTATTGGAGTTGTTTATGATTCCATTGATAAAACTAAATTTCTTATTTTTTTAAAAAATCTTTTGGAATACTTGTGCTATCTTCTGCATTTGTTGTTTTATTTCAAACAATAGAAGAATGATTTCAGTCTTTTGAGCATTGCTATGGACACTTACTTATATAAAGTTACCATGAAACTCAAGCTTCCACCAGTATGCTCTTGATTTTATCACGTGCATTTTTCAGTTAATTATTTGATACCAGGCCTCCTCTTATGCTTCCTCTATTTCCTGGATCCTTGGGAAAATGCATTTCTGTAGCATCATGTATCAGGATTGGAGGAGCCTGTGGAAACACACCAAGGTAGCCCTGTGCACCAGAGTGAACCTAGACAACATTTATGTCTTTCTTCTGTCCCTACTGTGGCTGCAAATCTTTGAAATTCTTTTTTAAAATAATACTTTAAAGAATAATTTGTAGGCTATACAGTATTTGATTGTTCTTTAAATTATAGCTACATTTCAGTTTTGGTATGTTCATTCTTTACTTGTGTATTTTTTAAATTCGGGAAGTTTTAATATAATTGCATCATTTCTCCCTTTCATTTCTTCTGTTGTAATTCTATCATGTATTGATCCTTGTTCACTTTGAAGTCCATGGCTTTGTTTTCATTGTCCATTCACACAAATACACGCCCATGCATGCACACATGCACATACACACACACATGCACATATATGAAATACATACACATATGAACAATGTTAAGTAAATGAAAATCCAGTTTTCATGTGGCATCTACTTATCATAGAACTTTTGAAAAAAATTTACCTCGTATGTCTTTGTCGTTTCCAGGATGAGTTCAATGATAACTAGTAAATGATAATTTTGAGCCCTCACCTTATCTCAAATAATACTATGTTCATGTGAGAGTGTGTCTGCGTGTGACTGTGTTGTCACATTGCATGAAGTTTTGAAAATAGGAAATATGTTTGGATTTTCTGATTTTGTTTTATTTTTATGATAATTCTATCGATACTTGATGTATTTTGGTTCTGTACAAATTTTAGATTCATTTTGATCATTGTGACAATGAAATGACACACAAGGGAAACTGGATGCCTACTTCATTCAAACCTTACTGGTAAACACTGGATTTATTATTCATACATCTATTCTAGGAATTTGATACTTTTTAATCCTTATTTTGATATTAAATATCATATGAAAATTATTTGAGACTTAAGTATACATATTATACAATGGCTCACTAGTTGTTCTTAAACATTTTATTTTTTCTTCTATGATGCAGATACATGATCTCATCGTCCTGTTCAACCTGATCTGAGACTCAGGCACTGAAGAGGTTCTTCTCTGCCTTCTCCTGAGAAGATTTTGGTGAAGACAAAATTACCTGATGGTAATGTAATTTGAGGGCCTTTCTGCCTTTTATTTATTATTCACTTCTTGCTTGTAAAACTCAATTGAATTTTTGTACTTCTGTGTACTGGCATGTTTCCTGACAATGTTTTAATCCAAACATTTTATGCATGTCTTATTTATTCTGTAGAAAGAATACTATGTTATTTCCACCTAGAAGTAGTTAATATTTCTTGCTATAGAAATACCCATTGCTCATTTTCTTAACTAATTTTTCTGAGGATAATGGTCAGCAAATGTTCAGTGAAGTGGCATCCACTTGTTTCTTTTACTTTCTAACTTTTGGGAAAGTACTGAAACTTTTAGGATTCTAGATTTTAGCTTTCTTTTAAACTTATAAAGTTTCAGAGATGTGGTAGAAGGTGACTGGAGGTTTACATAGAATAGACAGTTCTCTGAATAATGATAACACACATGAACATGCACAATGGACAAAGGAAAGCCCAGAAGAACTAAAACTTACACAAAGCAGTATATTCTGCTGAGGAAATCTGGGAAAGGCATGTGTCATTCTCAGGGAAGAGCATACAGCTTTGTTATTTAGTACCAAAGGCCTCCTTTGAAAACATATGGGCAGGTATTGTTAACAGAGTTCTCTGTTTATATTTGAGAATATATACATATTTGTATAAATATATGCATCTGGCAGAATTAGTAAAAAATGAGTTCACAGATATGAAAGCAAATATATAGAGGTATATGGGAGGGTTTTAAAGAGCAAGGAGATGTGAGTAATGTTTTAATTAAAGTATATTCTCAAAAATAAAAAGAAACATAATAATTTACTACATGTACATACATGCAGAAACACAAACACACACACATGAACACATATACACACACGTTTGTGCACTAACACATGAATGCTCCACCACACAGAGGCAAACAGAAAAAGAGAAGACAGAGTTATCAGAATTAGCACAGAATAATGTGACTAGGAAATAGGGAGGATTTTTCACTTGGGGTATGGAGGGTGTCTTTTTTAATATGATATTTAAATATTTATATTGATAAAATATTTTTAAGAAAAGAAGGTACTGGAGAAACAGTACTAGTGTTTGTGTTCTGTTTGTTATGTACAGGGGCACACATAGGTTCAAATATCACACCAAACTGCATGTTTGTATATACACAGGCACAGACACGCAGCATAATACATGTATGTACATGTGCATACACACCAAAAGAGAGGTGAAAACATTAGCATAGCCAGCGATTATAGGCATGGGGGATTTTAAATTATTGCATGGAGGATGGATTTTCACAAACACACAATATTTTTATCTTTGAGTTGAATAAGTTATTTTTAAGAAATAATGGAATACCCTTCTAATTATAAATTCACATTCTCTTTTAAATTTCTGATCTATTTTTCCACTAGTTTTATTACATATTACATAAATATATCTACACACACGCACACACACATATATGTGTATACGTACTACATATAAGCAATTTAGTTCATATAATATTGAGAGAGAGAGAGAATTAGAGAGAGAGAGAATTAGAGAGAGAGAGAGAGAATTAGAGAGAGAGAAAAATGAGTATGAGGAGTCAGAGAGATGTCATGTAGCCTCCAAAGGAGACAAATGGCCAGGACCTTAATGGTAACCACAAGCCTTATGGTAAAATACAAATTAATAGAAATGAGTGGGTTAATTTAAGATATAAGAGCTACATCTGAAGAATATGCTAAAATTATTGGCCAAGCAGCATTGCAATTAATGTAGTTTTGTGTAATAATTTCAGGTCTGGGCAGCTGGGAACTAATACGTAATCTCTGTTTACACTTATCTTTGATGTGAATAATTATGCTCAATAGTAATATATTATTTCTCCCTTCTGTGAAAAGGAATGATGGGAAGAGTGTGATGTGCACAACCTGGGTTTGCAAAGCAGTCAGGTAGGCTGAATGGAGAGGTAACATCTTCTACTACAATGGCAATGCATGGGCTCTCAGATAAAACAGGCCATACTAAAAAGGGTTTATTCCAATTGTTCTAGTGTATTTTTTTTTTTACATAGCAATGATCTGTTTTGGAGAGGGCAGTCTTAGTTTCATTTTTATGAATTCATGCATGGGCTTGCTTAAAAATATNCCCAGCAAGTCCTTTCATAGATTCCATTATTATGACAACCTGCAGTCTGACTTTTGGGCTTAGATAGGTATATGCTTTGGATCATATGGAATTTCTAAAGAACTTCAAACAATCAAACCATGAGGTCGGTACAGAGCACGGACTGTGGGGAGGCAGAAGTTATGGTGATGGAAAACTTTTCATGAAGAGAGGTCTGTATTAGAGAACATGTGCTTTACTGTATTTTGTATCATTTAGTCATGGTATTATACTTATTGATAAATTATATAATTATACACTAAATGAAAGACTAAGAATTTATTATAGCTGGACTATAAAGTCTCATACCTTTAATTCCAGTACTTGGGAGAGAGAGGTAGGCAGATCTATGATTTGTAGGCCAGCCTGGTGTAAAGAATGAGTTACAGATCAGCCAGGACTACACAACAAAACCTTGCCTGGCTATTTTTTTTTTTGCACAACGAAAATATAAACAAAAACAGTAAAGAATTTATTATTTCATATTTTATTAATAACTGTTATTCATTGTTATACAAAAGTGAGTAGTTGATGATGGTATCATATATTTGTGACAAAAGATTTAACATTAGAAAATAGTTCTATTAGTTTGTCTATACCTGTGACCAGTTTACTGGAATGCTCACTTTAGTCAGTCCTCAACTTATACCAAGAATCAAGATATCTTACCATTTCCTTGCCTCATTTTCAACTGGAGATGACTTAAGTAATAAAGGAATAGATGAACCTTGCACTGCACATTCTGGTGCCATGGTCTTCCTTAATGGTACAGAGCATTTTCTCTGTTTTGAAGCTTTTTGTTTTTGTGAATTAAAGCATTTGCTTCCTAAAGGATGTTTCCTGGAACAAGTGTGTTTCATTCACTTATTCACCAAAGAATCTCATGAATTTAAATGCTTGAAAAGGCTTCTAAAATTGTCTATTTAAAAACATAGCAAATGATTATTGTCGTAGTTTGGTCTTCAGTGGAGATGCTGACTGTCATGGCAGAGAAGAGCTTGGAATGTTGAACTTTATCATGCGTGTGCCTGAATTCAATATGGGACCTTAGTAAGCACACTGAGAGTGTTCTTTGCCTTAAGGAAGATTTTCATTTTCCAGAGGACACACACATTAATTGTTAATCTCAGTATGTGTGCTACTTTGGTCATATTTAGGACATTGTCTCCTTTGCCAATGCATTCAAGGCAACTTCCTACCTCACAGTAAATTCTAAATCATAAGTGGGTATTTTGTGTAATTAAAGGATAACCAGGGTACAATCCACAGACTCGGAGAGACCAAATACAAGGAAGACCCAAAGAGATACAGGGACTTTCCCTGGGAAAGGGAAATAGAAGAGATATCCTGAGTAAAATAGGGGTTTTGGGGGATGGAGGTATGGGAAAATGAAGATTCAGGTTGATTGGTTTTGGGGTGGGAAGAATAATGAAATAATGGAGAGAATAATAAAAGAGATATCCAGAATGGGGAGCATTTTGGACACACACACATACACACACACATACTTGAGAAGGTATTTTGAAGTTTTTTTCATAATACATCTTAAATAATTTCTTGCCCGCTTTGACACATCAAGACCTTCCATGCACATAGGGTACATTGCTTGACCAGGGATAGAACTCACCATTTTTTCTTTATTCTAATTATCATTAACTAGGTCACTCAATAGTTCCAGTTCCATGTGATGGATCATGTGTACATTCATAACATTAATGTAGATTGACATAGGCAGATAGCAAATATTCAGCAGCAAGTTGAACTCAGTTGCCCAGAGTCACATTCAGGAGGGCTCATACAGAAATGCAGAATTTCTTATAGGAATTTAGGGTCTATTGCAAAGGAGCTAGGTACATGCTCATGCTCCAGGGACTTTTGATTGTTTTCCTCTGTTAGCAATTGGAGAAACAATTCATGTTAAATTACATTTTTTTCTGTCTTTCTAGTTTCAGGTTCCCTGTTTCTGTGGTAACAAACAGGGAGGGGGAGAGAGACATGAGATAGCAGCTCAGATGAAAATCTCCATAGTTACTGCAGACCCTTGATTTCCTTTGGTAGCTTTGAGATCTGTTTCATGATTGGCCCAAATCTATTCTCTAGTTGATATCACACACTTAACCAATCCCAAGGCAAGCGAAGATATCAGTCTGTTCACAAAGTTTTTTTTTTTTTTCAGTCAGGCTCCTTGCTGGAGTCCAGCAATCAGCTGGATCCTGGTTCTAGCCCGGACCTGACTATAAGCTACTAGTCAGTGAAGTAGGATTGCTCCTGAAACCTGCAAAGAGACAGAGGCTATTGACATCCAGCATAGCCAGGCACTTGATAAGATTTCCCACAAGCTGACTGAGTCACCTGTTTTTTCCTGTTCAGTAAATATGTTCCTGCTTCCTTAGCCGCTGTGTCCCCTTTAAGATACGTCATTGTCTTTCATCTCTGTGTTTGGCTTTATGTGTAATGCATGTGATTCTTCTCAGCCTTCAGTAGCTAACCAAGACAGGGGACCTGCTACTCCTTATACTCCCTCCGGGACTTACTGTGTGAATCATTTTCTTTAAATGTCTTACATGGCCACCTGAAAGTCTGAGAGCTCATAGCTGGACCATTTGCTGACACTGTGTTTTATTTGCATGTGGTCTTTTCATTAAAGATAAATTATGTTTCACACAATATATAATGATGATGGTTTTCTGTCCTTCAATTCCCTTAAGATATTTTCCACATTTCCACCTTCCCAAATCTATACTGTCTGTTTGTCTCTCTGTCTGTCTGTCTCTTGATCTCTCTATCTCACGTGTGCTCTTTACTTTTTCTTCCTCTCAATGGAATATACCAATGCATATATTAATAATAGTAATGATAATAATAGTACAATATCAATAATAATATCAATAATAATAAAAAATAAAACATCAGAATAGGACAAAAGAAACAAATATAAAAAATTAACCAAACAAAAGCAGAAAAAGCACATAGATGCAAAGACAAGTATGTTCATGCAAACATAAATGCCACAAAATCACAACCATTGTGGGATTCCCCTGTGTATGCTGTGAATACCATAGGTTAATAAAAAAGCTGGCTTTGCCTGATAGGATGGAAAAGAGCTAGGCTGGGAAAACTAAACTGAATGCTGAGAGAAAGGAGGGTGAGTTAGAGAGAAGCCATGGAGCTACTGCCAGAGACAGTCACACTGAAACATTGCTATTAGGCCACGATCTTGTGAAGTTTCACCGATTAATGGAGATGGGTTAAATTAAGATGTAAGAGTTAGCCAATAGGAAACTAATGGTCCAAGCAGTGATTTAAGAGTAAAGATTTTGTGTGAATATTTGGAGGCTGGAACAGCTGAGAAAAAATAAATTGGCTCCTTACAACACCCATAATCATAATCCTTTGTATATATGCAAAGGAAATATGAGGTTTAAAATTTGCTGAAAAGAATTATGAGACAAAGAATCTCGAAAAATGTATTTTAGTGCCTTGTATGTGTGCCACCTACTGTTGGCACTGAATCCTCTCTTAAGAGTGGTTAGTATGTGCAGTGAGACTCCACTGCATGAAGCATGTCATTCATTTGCTTTCAGGTATTGATTGGACTTGTGAAAAGTTTTTGTTTTCTAGTACCAAATGACTATCTGAGACCAGAGAACCATAAACGTAATATCCTCATTTTATCCCTTCTGTTTTCATGAATAACCACACATACTGTATGTTCTAATCTAATTGTCTTCTCAGGTACATATTGTTTCTACTGTGTGTCAAACACATTTGTTTATTCTTTCCAGTCTGGACACTCCAGATTTGAGATGAAGCAAGGGAAGGGGGCTGTCCATATTCCCATGGGAAGAACTTTTCGACCAAGTATAAAGTCAAGGATACTTACACTCTTATATAAAAAAAAAGCTATACTCAAATGGATGCTGACTTATGGTAAGTTTGTAATGACTCACAGTATATTCACTACATTATCCTAATAATTGTTACTATAATCTGCAAATTTAATATTTCAATTATTGGAGTTTAATAAATTATTTTAATCTTAAAATTTTCAATTTATATATAAACTCACACTAATATTTTGTCTTAGGATTGTATATTGCTGAGCTCTTTTATTTTTTCCTATGAAACGTGGGGTCCCAAGAAATATCTGCTTACACTAATGATAATGGAATTTTTGGGAGAGATTGGACAGTAGCCACAGAGAAGTCTGAATGTGATCATCCTTAGATACTCAATGATATGCATCCTTACATCACATCAGCTCCTACAGACACATCATTGGGATCACAGTTTGAAGTACAATCAATAAAAAATTGCCATGGGACAGTTTATTATTTTGTAATTTTTATCTGATTTATTTTTGAAATTTTCATATACTTACCCAATAGTGCTTTATCATATAAACCATTACTCAGCCAAATCTCTTTTCAAACTTTACATCCTTGAAGCATGTTTAAGAGGGGCTCAGAAAGAGAATTTGGGGTTCAATCTAAGGATTTGAGAAGCAAAACAGCCAGACATTGGATTTTACCTCGACCCCTTTGGAAATGGTGTTGCTACCTCCATGTATCTCAGAATGAAACTGTGTCAGAGCACTGTCTCTTTTCATTTTATAATCCTCTCTGGGTCTGGATTAAAGATGTGCACCACTGTGATTAAAGGCATGCGCTTCCCTTTTTCTATGGCAACTAGAGTGGCTACGTGATTAATGGTGCATGCAACCAGTGACTGGTCTCTAAGCCCATGGGGCTGTTTTCTTCTCTGATATTCAGGAAACTTTTATTAAAATACAATTGAAATTCCACTACACATCCTCCTTCCATAATAATTTATTTGCTTATCCATTAGATCTAGTAATATGGACACATCGAAAAATAATAAAAGGAAAAGAAAGGAGCATTCCATTTTCTTGATCACAAAATGAGCGATGTTGAAAGAGCAGAAAGCAGAGTGTCTCAGAGGTGTGTCTATCCAAGAGACCACAGGAAAATTTAGGACATTACAACTGTCCGTAACACAAGACAGCTTTTTGCTGATACTATTTATACATGCTATGTGTAGAGCAGACATTTGTAACATATGAAGGTGAAGCTGTTAGTACTGTGGTAAATTTTCACAAGGGTATAATTAAGAGAATATTTAGGGCAGTTTTCTCTTTATTGGGTGAAGAAAACAGCTAAGAATGCTTGCACTTCCTGCTTACTCAGTTAATATTCTTTCCTTCTCAGTTCTCTGAGGCAGATGAGGATGAGATAGTTATAGTTATTGTTTTCCTTATCAGAAACGACATTTCTAAATTCAGAAAATTTACTAAAAGATTCAGAAAAGACATTTACTAAAAAATGTAAATTATATTTGATTCAGAGACATTAAGAGATAATTTTTGTTATGCAAGTTAGAATAGAAAGGGAGTTAGGTACTACCTTTTCTTCTCGCCTAATTAGGATAGATAATGGAGTATTTTCACCAAATTCTTTAAGTTTAATAAAGTTACGAAAGTTATATGTGATTAGATAGGCGCATTTTTATTAAGTATACATTTTTCTTTGCTCCCCTCCCTGCCTCTCCCCTTTCCCCTTCAGCCCTCCCAGAAGCTGGTGTTCCTACCCACAAAGATTGCTCCACAATATGACACTGGTGCTTATAGTTATGTCGCCTACTTCAGGGTATAAAATTTTTATTCTGCCCTCTACAGTTATTCTGCACTAATGTAACTAGGATAGACACCGGAAATGAAAGAAGGGCAGACATTCAGACACATGTATTGATCTTGTGGGAGTCCATAGGCTGTGCTTGCTTGGTGAAGGTAATTCTCTGTGACTGGCTAGTCAGTGTGCACTTTTTGTAAACATCTGGATTCAGGAGGTATGTTTGCTGTATATGGCTGAGAGGGTCAGGTTCATGGTGTATGGAAGATAAAGGAGACAAATGAGGCTAGTACTGATAATAGTTTTATGTGAAGTATCATCACAGACTGTACTTCTCCATTTAGGAGGAAGGTAACTAGGAAGATATATTTGCTATCCCACTGAGTCTCACATGTGTAAGGTTTTAACAACCCCAGGTATCTGAGGCCATGGAACCTAGCGTTGGCTATATCCATGTCACAAACATTCACCACATTCACTCAGAACTTCATCATATGTTGACGAGTTTTCAAAATATACTTTGAAGAGTATAAGGTTTGGAACTTATTGATCTTTATATTGTATTTTTAGATAGTACCTCTGCAAGGATTTTTCATACATGGATTACATGAATCTGGAGGCTGTAATTCATTGTTTGATATCCAAGCATTTAAAGCTGCTGTGCTACATAGGGACACGGTGTGTTCACTGTAAAAAGCCTGATCCTAAGGATCAGAGTAAAATCCCTCACCCAGAATTTGATCTTGGGAAATCTTAAGTCCTTATGTTTTTTTCTTATTGCTCAAAAATTTTTGCTTCTTCTCTCTACTAACACTTCCAAAGTAACTGAGGTCCATTTTTTAGGACTGCTGAGATTAACTGAGATAAACTGAGTCCTGTCTTGTAGCATTGCTTTGTTGCATATGGCCCACGTTTTGACCATTTCTCTAATGAAGGAAGAATATATTCCATAAGATACTATTGCTTGTTTAACTTCCTTTACATCAGTCATATGTATGGACTCCCATGTATATTCTTTGACTTCCTCAGGATAGGTGCCAGATGTTCTTTCTGATGATATCATCAGAGAAGCAGGTAAATATCTGGGCAAGCTAATCCAGAGTTCGGTACGTACTGATGAAGCTAAATTTTGTCTTTGTACCTTTTGTCTTTGCTCATCAAATTTGATAAATTTCTCAATCTTTTCAAAATTTTTTACTTCTGCCTTTTGTATGGTCTGGATCTTTTGTCCAGTGTTCTGTTCTAATGCCCTCATTGAGACTTCCAAGGTTTGAAATCTGTCCAGTATAAATAATATCTCATCCTTGGACATAATTTTTGTAGCATGCATATTGCATTTCTGGAGGGACATACTATCAGTCAGTCTATCATAACTCTTTGACAGAGTTAAGTTAATACAGTCAACAATATGAATTCTCTCAGACAATGTTTCAGCACCCTTTCTCATTGTCTGAGCTGAGTTTTTGTTTAAATTGGTGATATCCTTCTATCTAATGCTGAATTTCTTTTTTAGTTGATCATTATCAGTCTGTAAAGAGTGTGTAATTTTTAAAAATGTATCATTTGACTGGGTTTTGTTTATTAACTTTGTTGTATCCTTCTCCAGAGTGCTGAATTTCTCTTTTAGTTTGTCATTATCAGTCTGCAAAGACTGTATCATTTGTAAAAATGTCTCATTCTTGGCCCTATTATCAAACCAAGTTTTTTTAAATTTATTTATTTATTAAAGATTTCCGTCTCTTCTCTGCCACTGCTTCCCATTCTCCTCCCCCTCCCCCAATCAAGTCCCCCTCCCTCGTCAGCCCAAAGAGCAATCAGGGTTCCCTGCCCTGTGGGAAGTCCGAGGACCACCCACCTCCATCCAGGTCTAGTAAGGTGAGCATCCAAACTGCCGAGGCTCCCACAAAGCCAGTATGTGCAGTAGGATCAAAAACTCATTGCCATTGATCTTGAGTTCTCAGTAGTCCTCATTGTCCACTATGTTCAGCGAGTCCGGTTTTATCCCTGGCTTTTTCAGTCCCAGGCCAGCTGGCCTTGGTGAGTTCCCGATAGAACATCCCCATTGTCTCAGTGTGTGGGTGCACCCCTCGTGGTCCTGAGTTCCTTGCTCAAGCTCTCTCTCCTTCTGCTCCTGATTGGGCCTTGAGATTTCTGTCCGGTGCTCCAATGTGGGTCTCTGTCTCTGCCCCTTTTCATCACCTGATGAAGTTAATATTCAGGAGGATGCCTATATGTTTTTCTTTGGGTTCTCCTTCTTATTTAGCTTCTCTAAGAACCCGAATTATAGGCTCAATGTCCTTTATTTATGGCTAGAAACCAAATATGAGTGAGTACATCCCATGTTCCTCTTTTTGGGTCTGGCTTATCTCAGTGTGGCGGTTTCTCAGGAAATTCGGGATCAACCTACCCCTGGACCCAGCAATACCACTCTTGGGAATATACCCAAGATAGGCCTTATCATACAACAAAAGTATATGCTCTTCTATGTTCATAGCAGCATTGTTTGTATTAGCCAGAACCTGGAAACAACCTAGATGCCCTTCAATGGAAGAATGGATGAAGAAATTATGGAATATATACATATTAGAGTACTACTCAGCAGTAAAAAAAATGGGCTTCTTGAATTGTGCATGCAAATGGATGGAAATAGAAAACACTATCCTGAGTGAGGTAAGTCAAACCAAGTTTTTAAGGAGAAAAAAAAGGAGGACAATGCTAATCTTCAGAATTACATAGAGAGATGTAAAATGGAAATCATATAAATCTTATATAACATCATACATGATATAAGTCAAATACTATTGAACTCTTACATTGTTAAATTGTCCATCATCTTGCCCTTTTAAATTTATAATTTAAAATTATATATCTTACCTGTGGTTGAGTTTGAACTGGAGTAGGTTCAATAACCGTTACCTGCCAGTAGGTGTCATGGCACACTTTTAGGTGTGTGGTTGGTTTGACTCTGATTATAGCTAAAAGATATGCATACGTTACTATGTAAAAGCAGTTATGTAATGTTAATCACAGGCTTTATGCTTCGCAGGAGTCCATGCCTGCTTATTGGCCACACTAGCACAAAGAGGTGAAGAAAGCATGGAAGCCCACATCCTTTACTGGATCAAGAAGCCAACCACACAGTCACAGGTGGGATGGTCTGAACCATCAAGGCACTTGTTTTTTTTTTTTTTGTGGAAAATGTTTCATATCTGAGATATTCTGGTAATGAATGACACTTGAGTAAAATTGATAAATTTACTGAAAAATCATAGATTAATTATGTAGATTACTAGGAATGTCAGCAATAGTATTTGAAGCTCATATGAATTTAAATGGAATTCAACAATAGGAAATTAAATATTTGTGAAAGTTTCTATCTCCCACCTTGATATTGCTAGGTACTAAGAAAACATCTCAGTATTGTTTAAAGTAGATTTTATTTAGTGCAATCTCCTTTCTGATGAACATAAATAATGTGCTACCTGAGATGCTAATTGGATATTTTGAAAGAGAAAGGTAGTGTAGTCTTTATGATTGTTCACCATACCAAATCCAGGTCAGTGATTTTCCTGTTCAGGAACATAATTCCCCCCCTTAGAACTCCTTTTCTCTTTTCTCTTTCCATATCACACCTTCATTTTACCACTGCTTAAAAATAAAGTGCATGAGCATTAAGACACCAACATTTTATCAGATTTAAACATTAACAGCTTACAGCTTCTTTTACCCACTTGGAAAATCCTGGTGTATGTGAAAGATAGAAGCTATTCATGACAAAGTATGGACAAGCAAGACTAAAGATTCTGCATTTGGGGAAAAAAAAGGAGAATCAAGAAGTCACACAGTAGAATGGATTGTCTGGTCATTCCACACATCGTGTTCACACTCCTTACTCTGCAGAACATCCCTTGTTACTGTACACACAAACCTGCTCTACTGCACAGAAGATACAGGGATAAGCTCCCAGTCATATGGTAGTTAGAGCTCACTGATAAGAATGGAATGCTTGAACTACTACAACCCTGGAGCGGCCCATGAGGAGACCCATTTACAGAGGGTTTTCAGACACCATATTTTAAGATATGTGTGTTTACATCCACCCTGCTTGATAATAAGCTCCTAGTTAGATCACACTTAAATCTGATGATAGCATAGGGTGTGTGAACTGTGACAACTCTAGAGAAGCCCACCCAGCAGACAATTACAGAGAGTTTTCAGATGTAAAATTGTTATAAATATGCCACTTTATTAATCCTGCCTGTGAAGAAGTTGTGAACAAAGATCTTGAATAGACATGAGAATCCAGCAGATCATCAATAAAACAATTAAACGTAGATTTGTGTTTTCCTCAGCTTTTTTGCCCACATTTAAGTATTTTAATTATTATTTTAGCATTTAATAAAATTCTCTGGCTCAGTGGTCAAGAGCATATCTTATTCTTTCAAAGTACCCAAGTTCAGTTCCCAGTATCCATGTTGGGTGGTATACAACCACCTGTAAATTCAGCTCCAGGTCTCCAGTGATCCTATTCCCTCTTCTGATTTCTGTGGGAACCAGCACTAACATGACATATACCCCCACACACATGCACAAATATGTTTAAAATATATTAGTGAGGCCTTTAATCTCAGTAATCTCAACTGCTCAGAGGCTAATTCAAGAGAATCACAAGTTCGAGGCCTACCTGGATTACAGAATGAGTTCCAGGCCAGCATGGGTAACTTTGTGAAATCTTGACTCAGAATCAAGAGTAGAAAGAGGGCTGAGACTCAATGGCAGGGCACTCGCTTAGCTTGTGGGAGGCCTTAAATTAAATCTCCAGTATAAAAAACTGTGCAGTTTTCCTTTGTTGGCTACTCTATCAACATAGAAATGTTTTCCATATTTCAATAATTGGATAAGACTTTACTAGTGATGCAGAATTCTATATGGAACTTATTTTTATCAGTGTATATTAAGTGTACAAAATAATGGGTTTAATTGTGACATCTTCATATATAATGTTTGAAAACCTGGTACTGGTGGTGTACACCTTTACTCCCAGACTTGTTAGGAAGAGGCAAGTAGATTTCTGTGAGTTCCAGGCCAACCTGATCCACAGATTGAGTTCCAGGACAGCTAGGGCCACACAAAGAAACCCAGCCTCACCCCACCCACCTCCAGAAAAAAAAGAAGGAAGAGGAATCCCCTTCAAATACATACATTTTATATATATGAAGATTTCCTCAGCTTTTAAAGGAACAGTAATGCATCCTATTCCACTCAGCATTCTAAATCTTGAGGAAAAGATTTTTGCTCCCTGTTTTTATCTATAACCACCAGAGTTCATTCATGTTTTCAAGACAGGGTGCATTGCCTTCTTTTGTGACAGAAGATGAGGTGGTCTATGTGATCTTCATTCCTTAGACTGCACCAAACAGATTGAACAAAGTAGCTTTAGGGACAATTATATTTACAGTGCTGTTTCATATTTCCAGTGTAGAGCAGAATTTGTTTCCTTTTGTTTAGTTCCTTACAAGGTTTGCACTCCAGCATGCATTGTCAGCTATTGCTTATATTCTCTCTTCCTTCTCAGTTGTATTCCATGTATGAAATCCTATTTGTTCATGTATACTGTACATTTTTGCTCTCTCTCTCTCTCTCTCTCTCTCTCTCTCTCTCTCTCTCTCTGGTTATCTCTCTTTCTTAAAAAATGAACATGAAAACAAACAGAAAACCTAACAAAACACTAAATGACACAACAAAACACACACATAAAACAAACAACAAAACGGTCATAAACATGAATTCCATTCTATGTCTCCTACTACTCCTGGGCATGAAGCCAGGCCTAGATGGTGTTTAATATTCTCACTGACTCTATTTCAAAAATCTAATTTTCCATTTCTCAATGAATGTAAATTTAATAAATGTTTCTTATAGGAATAGGACTTTGTGTTCAAACATTTTATCAATATTTGGCTTGTAATTGGTTTGAACATTTGGAAGTTTTGTTTATGCCTATTACTATTGAAGTGTCCTAAAATATGTTCATATCTGATAGCAATTTAAAAGCAATCAATATGTGAAGNCTAATTAAACCTCCAGGAATTTATCCTATCTCTCTAACAAACTATGATGGATCTGTTGTAGCCTATAAAGGCTAGAGGATGCTGTTGATATCCAAGAAAATATTTTGGTTTCCAACATGATATCTGGGGGAATGGTTAACAGATTGATAGGAAAGCCTTTCACAGAGTAAAGGCATATGTCACAAACAATCCCACACCAGTTTGGAATTATGATTAATAGAATGGTTATTTATTTAAGGTGATTACAGATCACCATCCCAGACAATATCCCTCTAAGCAATCAGGAAAGGAGCCTAGTACTTGGAAGAAATGCAGGAAGCCAGAGAGCAAGAGGAGGGCAGTTGCTGCTTTTTCAAAGAGAGAGAGAGACCACGCCCCACTGGACTGGTATCTCAGCGCCTATTGGCTGAAGGAGTGTAAGGGGCTCCAGCTAAACCTCCCCCTTTTTTAAGTAAGAGAGTTCCAAACCTACTATGAAATTATATACAACAAGTACAAATATCCTATTCTAACTTCCTAAGTCTTGTATAATAAATAACTTTGCCAAGTCATGAGAGGAAAGTAACTAAATTTATATAGACTTCAACCCTATCGAAAAGGGAAATAATGTTACCTGAGTAATTAGGAAGTGCAATCAAACAACTTCCAAAACATGCAACAAATCACAGAGACAACTGGCTACCTGGCAATCAATCACCCAAAATCACATTTGCAGTGTTGAAGCAACCAACTTTGGCTAAGGCCTCACGTAACTGACATACCATTTTCAAAGGCAAGAAACTTTTCAAACTATCTTACCCTGTCTTGGCAGGATATAACAGTCCTGTTTTATCCATTTACGGATACTCTGTATCTCTGTCAATGGTTGAGGTATGGGCATTTCTTTGCCCAAAGGCCAGTTCTGCCAAGACGAAAGGCTCCAGGTGGAGTGTCTTTGGTGCTCAACATTCTCTCGGGAATAGATTGTTGTTGCCAGGAGCCATTGTGTCTCACTACCACGAAACTCTGAGTTAAGTTAAAGGCCATTTTCTACAGCTCTTTGAAAAAGTTGAAAATTATCTATCTATACTGAGTATAATCTCTATGCATCTAAAGAACCTGATTAGTCTAATTATAAATGACAAACATAGATGACTATTGATCCATATAATTCTCAATACCTATCTAACTTAAAGACTAAGACAATAAACAACTGTGAAATAAATGAGGACAATGACCTCCAAATGTAAAGAATGCACAAGTATACATTCCAATATGGTGAATATATATATCTTAATCAGAGGTAGAAATGTACACTGCAATATGACAAATATACATATACAATCCAGTATATATCAATACATAAAAATGTATTAAATAGAGGTAGAAGCATGCACACATACAATAATCAATATAATTTAACTTTGTATTGATATACAAGAATTGATTCCAATATATTTTATTGTACTTTTATTTAATTTTTCATCATTTATTGTGTGTTACGACTTCATCCCATCTTCACATTACAACAAGTACCAAACACTCTTTTTTACCCAGTCCTCGATTCTCAAACTGAGATGAAGTTGAGCAAGAATGAGAAGATGAACCTTGAATGTGTTTATTTGGTCCGCAAGTTCTTTCCTCATATGACCCAGATTAGTGCATTCTCTCTGTCATCAATCAATTTTATCTTAATGAAAACAATTCCTCTTTTGGTAGGACATTTGCTGGATGTGAGCCACTCCATTCATTAAAATGTGAAGAAAGCTCATGAACTTATTATTTTGAAAAGACTTCTTCAATTTCCCTTATGTATATAAATAGTAAGTAACGATTGCTGTATCAGGGGCTGTTAAGTTGGGTCATGGAGGGAAATTCCAGCTCTGCAGCTGTCCCAAGTCATAACCATGCTGCGTTTGGGTGATGCATGTGTCTGAATTCCATCTGTAACCCCTAACACTCATTTGTTCACCAAGTAGAAATTTAGTATATTTATTTTTAATTTTTTGGATGTTGTGTCCCAGATAATTGGACCTTCATTTATGTCTCTTCAAGAAAAGAAAATTTGTAGAAAAGTATTTCTAAGCCCAATTTACATTTTTCACATTTTTTTAAAAATATTTCTTTCATTATCACCCTAAACTTCCTATACATTCCTCTTGTCCTCTTTAACCTTTATGTTTGGTCTCCTTTTAGATTGTTGTTACATGTATGTATGTATGTATGTATGTATGTAAATACATGTATATGTATGCAAATATGTTCTACTACATCTGTATAATTTTGTTTTTATGCTTTTGGGAATAACCATCTTGCATTAGAGTTGTTGTTTGTGATTCCATTGTTAAAACCATATTTCTTATTACTTATAAAACCTTTTGGAATATTTATGCTATCTCCTGCATTTGTTGCTTTTTCCAACAATAGACAGACTTCAGTATTTTGAGCATTGCTATGGACACTTTTAATAAGTTACCATGAAACTCAAGCTGCCACCAGTATGCTCTTGATTTTATCACGTGCATTTTTCAGTTAATTATTTGATACCAGGCCTCCTCTTATGCTTCCTCTATTTCCTGGATCCTTGGGAAAATGCATTTCTGTAGCATCATGTATCAGGATTGGAGGAGCCTGTGGAAACACACCAAGGTAGCCCTGTGCACCAGAGTGAACCTAGAGAACATTAATATCTTTCTTCTGCGACTTCTGTGGCTGCACATCTTAGAAACACTTGTTTTAAATAATGCTTTAAAGATTAATTTGTAGGCTATACAATCTTTGATTATTCCTTAAATTATAGCTACATTTCAGTTTTGGTATGTTCATTCTTTACTTGTGTATTTTAAATTCTGGAAGGCTTAATATGATTGCATCATTTCTCCCTTTCATTTCTTCTCTTGTATTTCTATCATGTATTGATCCTTGTTCACTTTGAAGTCCATGGCTTTGTTTTCATTGTCCATTCACAGAAACACACGCTCATGCAGGCACATACAAGTGCACACACACACACACATATTAAATACCCACACACATATAAACAATGTTAAGTGAATGAAAATCAAATTCTCATGTGGCATCCACTTATTATAAAACTTTTGAGAAAAATTTTACCTAGTATGTCTTTGGCATTTCTCGGTTGAGTTCAATGATAACTAGTAAATGATAATTTGGAGCCCTCACCTTATCTCAAATAATACTATGTTCATATGCGTGTATGTGTTTGTGTATGTGTGTGACTGTTGTTACATTGCAGTAAGTTTTGAAACTAGGAATTATTTTTGGAAGTTTCTGATTTTGTTTTATTTTAATAATAATTTCATTGATACATGATGTATTTTGGTTCTGTACAAATTTTAGATTCATTTTGATCATTGTGAGAAAGGAATGACACACAAGGGGAACTGGATGCCTACTTCATTCAAACTGTATGTTACTTGTAAACATTGGATTTATTATCATCCATCAAGTCTAGGAATTTGACACTTTTAATCTTTATTTCGATATTAATAATCATATGAAAATTATTTGCGGTTTAAGCATACATATTTTACATCGGCTCACTAATTGTTCTTAAACATTTTGTTTTTCCTTCTATGATGCAGATAAGTGATCTTGTCATCCTGTTCAAGATGATCTCAGACATAGTCACAGATTAGATCCTTCTCTGCCTTCTCCTGAGAAGCTTTTGGTGAAGACACGGACCACACACCTTCATGATGGTATTGTAATCTGAGGGGCTTTCTGCATTTTATTTTTTATTCATTGCTTGTCTGCAAAACTCAATCAACTTTTTATATTTCAGTGAACTGGCCTGTTTCCTGACCATGTTTTTAATCCATACATTTTGTGCATGTCTTATTATTTTTGTAGAAAGCACACTCTGTTATTTCCACCTAGAAGTAGTTAATATTTCTTGCTATAGAAACACCAGCTGCTCATTTTCTCCACTAATTTCCCTGAGGATAATGGTCAGCAAATGTTCAGTGAAGTGGCATCCACTTGTTTCCTTTCCTTTCTAACTTTTGGGAAAGTACTGAAACTTTTAGAATTCTAGGTTTTAGTTTTCATTTAAAGTCATGAAATTTCAGAGATGTGGTAGAAGGTGACTGGAGGTTTACATAGAATAGACAGTCATGTGAATAATGATAACACACATGAACATGCACAATGGACAAAGGAAAGCCCAGAAGAACTAAAACTTACACAAAGCAGTATATTCTGCTGAGGAAATCTGGGAAAGGCATGTGTCATTCTCAGGGAAGAGCATACAGCTTTGTTATTTAGTACCAAAGGCCTCCTTTGAAAACATATGGGCAGGTATTGTAAACAGAGTTCCCAGGTTATATTTGAGAATATATACATATTTGTATAAATATATGCATCTGGCAGAATTAGTAAAAAATGAGTTCACAGATATGAAAGCAAATATATAGAGGTATATGGGAGGGTTTTAAAGAGCAAGGAGATGTGAGTAATGTTTTAATTAAAGTATATTCTCAAAAATAAAAAGAAACAGAATAACTTACTACATATACTCACATGCAGCAACACAAACACACACACATGAACACATACGCACACAGGTTTGTGCACAAACATATGAATATCCCACCACACAGAGGCAAACAGAAAATAAGAATACAGAGTTATCAAAATTAGCATAGAATAGTGTGACTAGGAAATAGGGAGGATTTTTCACTTGGGATATGGAGAGTGACTTTTGTATATAATATTTATATATTTATGTTGAGGGAAATATTTTTAAGTAATAAAGGTACCAGAGAAACAGTAATAGTCTTTGTATTCTGTTTGTTACCTACATGGTAACATGGGTTCAAATCTCACATAAAACTACATATTCATAACACACAGGCACAGACACACAGCACAATACCTGTATGCACATGTGCATACACACCAAGAAGAGAGTTGTCAAAGTTAGCATAGGTAGTGATTATAGACATGGGGGGACTTTAGATTATGTTATGGAGGATGGATTTTAACAAACACACAATATTTTTATCCCTGAGTTGAATAAGTTATTTTTAAGAAATGGTGGCACACTCTTCCAATTATAAATTGACTCTCTTTCAAATTCCTGATCTATTTTTCACTAGTTGATATTGCATACATATACCCCCCCACCACACACACACGCGCGCGCGCGTGTGTGTGTATGTATTACATATAAGCTATTTAGTCCATATAATATTGCTTGTATCTTTCTTTTCATGGCTGATTGTTCAGAGTTGTAATCATCATTTCACATCTAACATGTATCAATCACCAACTGTATTCACCTGTCACTTCAGTGAGTTAAGTCATGTAGTTTAATGAAGTTGAATTACTTTGAGTTGCTCCTTCAAATCACTAATCATTTTCAATTATTTTTCTTACAAGTCATCCTACGGCTATGTACACCCTATGTCAGTTATTCTGTATCTTCCTAATGCAGCAACACTTTAAAAGAGTTTCTGATGTTGTGGTGACCTTCAGTCATAAAACTCTCTGTGTTGCCACTGCATAACTGTAAGTCTGATAAGTAATGTGATTATAATGTCAATATCAGTGTCTCCCCATGGTCTTAGGTGACCCTAGTGTAGTCCCCTAAAAGGGTTGAGATCAAAAGATTGAGCACCATGGACCTATGCAAATTTTATTTTCTCTGTGTTTCCTTTCTTATGGAATATTTTAAGATGGTAAGATTTCAGTGTCAGGATAATTGTCAAGTGACACACATTAGAAACAATTTAACAAATAACAATGAACATATTTCATCACTTACAGATCTGAGAGTAGAAAATTTGCATGCCTCAAAGGTAATGGAATGACAGATTGATAACACACCAGGAAACACTGAAGTTATAATTAGATGAAAATACACAGATAGCTGATAATTAGGTAAATAGGTGCAGAAGAGGAGGTGAGCAGAACGGGGTCACTTCCTTTTTATCATGTATAGACATTTTTGAAAAACTGTTTTTCTTTCATCATGGGTTCAGAGGAAGTTAGCAGGTTTCCTGGGATCTTTTTTTTTTTTTTTTATTGAGAATAGGAAAAAAAAGTTTCCGCCTCCTCCCAGCCTCCCATTTCCC